GCTCCGACACATGAGCACCCCGAAGCAGTTCGATGCAAGCAGAATTATCCATGGTAGATATCGAAGGAAGAGGAACGCCGTCGCCGATGGCGTGGCTGTTGTACCCAATCCTGTCCTCAAACATATTGCGAAGCATGTATGACTGCATGACTTCATCCGCAAAGTTGATGCAGAATTCATCGAACCCGTTCTGTCCATATGCTGAAATCAAGGGAGCGGTCCCCGTAAATGACATCGAGCCACTACCAGTCGGCCCACGAGACTGGAATCCAGGTTGATCAAAGATCACAATCTGTGAGTTTGGGAGCTCCTCCTGATTGGGGCGAATGATCTTGTGGTTCGAGGTTTCGACGACGTATGCAAAGAGGATAGCATATAGGTCGCGCATGAACTGGTCACGCTGGGCTGCGCTCTGCTCCACATTCAGGAGAACGGTATAAAGCTCCTTACGGACATAACTCGTCCTTGTCGTCAAAATCAGTGTAAGATCCTCCGAAGACACACCAAGGAGCTTGGCCACCTGCTCCAACACAGGCGTATTGACAACATATGCAGAAACATCGCGTGCGTCTGCTTCTGAGAACTGGATGTTGCTCAGCAGGAGAATTGCAACAAGCAAGGTGAATATTGATGAGATATGCTTCGCCTTGAAGCCCAAGGTACGCATCGCCGCAAGTACTTCCTGCATCGCAATGGCATCATCGCTGAAGGGGCCACTTGGCAGGCGATAGCACCCTGATGATGCCAACAACGAATAATCCGAAGGGTCCTCGAGCGCAAAGTGGTCCCGCTCCTGGGGTGTAGCACCGGCTAAAAACTGGTAAAAAATATGGAACGTACGCTCCTCATGAGTGAGGCGAGTAAGGCGGGATTTGTCAAGCGCGAACGCAAGAACTTTGGCCGACTCAATGCGACCGCGGGCATTGAAATGAAGCTCCAGGTAGCGCGCGTGACGCGAGGCGTTTGGGTTCAGGAGAGTTTTGGCATTCCCAAACGAGTCGAGTAACGTGGAGAACGCCTTGATTTGGCATGCGATGCGTTTTTCCTTCTTTGAGCGTGCAGAGAGCCGAAGAAGCTGGTCAACTAGGAGACGGGTACTGTACGACTTGCCTGAGCCGGTGATGCCTCTGTTTTTATTAACACGGTTAGTAGGTAGACAACAATAGACATTGTAGCATACGAACCGGGTGATGACGGACTGGGACTCGTTCCGCCGACGCATGAGGAGGTACATCTGCGCTGCAAACTCATAGAGATGCGGTTGGAGCAACCGAGAGCTCGCGAGTGGCAGGTTGGTATCCTTGTAGCACCGTTCTTCATACTCTTTGGCACTGATGTCGTTGACGTTGGCGAGTGTTTTGAATGGATTGACGACGAGCAAGTTGGTGGTGGCTATCCTTGTATACGGTAAGTCAGCACGAAAACGGGTGTTGAGTACGGTGACGATGGCATCGTCGTTGGGGTACACCGTTGCAGAGGATGACGAGGAAACGAGGTCGACAAGGTCGCCAGAGTTGACGGCGTGGTTGGCAAGCGAGCCGGAGGCCATTGCTGGCCCTCAAATGAAGGACAAAAAGACTGAAAATGAAAGAAGGATCAAGGATGCCAGAAGGAAAAATGCAGCCTTGTCTTGCAAGAGCAGGTAAAAATCCGAAGTGTGGCAGCCGACCCGATCGTGTCATCCACCCAAATGGGTCAGGGTTCTAGACCCTCTCGTGGACGGCAACCGACCAACCATAAACTCCGTTCTATAACTTATCGTCATCATCATCATGTAGCGTCGAGTTCAACGTCATAGTGTAAAGAACAGAAGTGTTTAGACATGCGCAGCAACAGTCGTATGCTATAAGTAGACTGATCGTCATCCCACTGCCCCAATCTCATGATCATGCCTCCTCACTCTCATTCGGGGAAATGTCTAAATTTCAATCAGTCATTGAAACAAGCGCCCGAAAAATCCCAAACATGACTTACCGGAATCTCCGGAATTCACATCAACAGGCCCACCAGCCTCGCGTGCAAGAGCCTCTTCCCAACCTTCCTCAAATAGCTCGGCATGCTCAGATGGGTGCACGATGCTCCCTGCGATCTTGCCCTTATTTTTAGCCCGCAGCTCGCCTCGCCACACGTCAACTACCTTCGGTACTTCGCTACCCCGAAATTAGTATCAAATATGACATACACGGATGGACTACGCTTACCTTGGTGCGTATGTTCGTGCAAAGAGCGCAGCTTCTGGTGCACGATTCGTCTTCAAAAGTAGATCCACACAGGGTTTCGCATCGCCCAGCTGGAACAGCGTCGCAAATGCCAAATTGTTCGCACCCTTCTGTTCAGCCGTCGCCGCAAGCTTCTGCAGCCCCTCCCGATCACCCGTCGAAAGCAGAAGTAGCATTAGCGCACTCAAATCACCCGCCTTTTCGAACGCCTCCCGAGCCAGGTCGAATTGCCATACTGTAAGAGCACGATCACCGATCAATTTCCACTTTGCCTCCGCCTCTGGTTCTGAGACAGAGCGGGCAATCTTGACCGCCGTGTCTAGGTCATCGAGTTGCAATGACAGGTCGAACTTGTGATCAGGGTCTGTCGTCACCTGCAGAGCAAGTTCCTTGAGGTCTGAAGAAAGAGCGGCTGAATCCTGGGCCCCAATACGTAATTAAAATTATGCATACCTCGACCCTCTAGGAACCGAGCAACTTTGTTTAGCTGCTCCTTGGGCAAAGTCGGTAAGATTTCAGCTGCCGAGTCCATGTCACCACGGAGAACGGCTGTCTGGTATTCAACAACGCTCAATGACAACGAATACCCGAAGATATTCATGTCCTTGTCCGCAAGGTACACCCGATTATGTGCGGGTATGTATCCTAGTATATACATCGAACTGTAGCAGTGTCAGTTCAAAGTGATGATCAAAGCGCATCATGCACGCACGTATCGGATGGGCTGATCGTGTACGATTCATTGCCCACGAAGTAGTTGAGGCGGTTTCCAGCCGTAGTGTAAATAAAGCAGTCACCTATCCATTTCGCCGTCTTTACGCTGATAAAAAATATAATCAGTTGGGGACGAAACTTCTGCTGATAAGACTGCACCTGTCCGAAATCTCAGCAACAACTTCAAATGCTTCCTCGACACCCTCATCCGTGATTTCTGCGCCCTCCTCTAGTTTGGAATTGTAAGCATCTCGATCAAATTTGAGGATATAGTAAGAGTCGTCCGATACAATCGCCACGAGCGTCCCTGTCGTCGACCAAAAAATCTATCAAAGTATTAGCATCATAAACATCCAACCCATGTCGGAACTTACATTCTTCGCATCCACATCAATCCGCCTCACAATATCCTCACTTTCCCAATCCCAAAAGATCACAAAACCCTTTCCGCGTGCACCAAGCACCGGACCTCCATAAATAGCATCCACTGCCCAGCTTCCTGCACCTTTCATCCCCGCACCACCGCGTTCCTTGAAGTTCTTGAACACACGGAGCTTCACCTTGCTTTCCAATACAGCGTACGTGTTCGAGTCACCTGCCCATGCGAAACCTGTACCCGACCCAAACGCCTTGTTCCGCCATGCGAGCGCAGTATAGATAATGTATTCCCCATCACCAACGACAGTTACGAAGCGTCCGTTCGGCGAGTGTAATAACGCCGTGGCGAAGATCTCTGTAGTACCGATCTCCTTGATCGACAAGGGGATGCGGTTACCGTCTGCCGTGGAGATGTCAGAAAGCGTGGCAAGGTTTCCAGATAGCACAATTTGGTTCTTCGTGTATATCAATTTGCCTGATGGGTCCATGCTGTATGTGGGCTCATCCCGGCCAAGCTTGAGAGGTATCAGATATGCAGAGCGTGTAAATGATGCAAACAGACCTTGATTACGACGACACCCTCATCAAATCCAACAGCCACCTCATTCGCATCTCGGCGCAGCGAGACGCACCATGCGCGCTCGAGTGCATAACTGAGGGTGTTCTCCAAACGGTAAGTATTGCTGTTCCATATTTTCACGGTGCCATCTTCACTACCGCTGATGATGATAGGCAGGTTGGGGTGGAATACAGCGAAGCTTGGGTTGTTTGTGTGTCCTTCCATCGTTTGCACGCAGCTTTTGCTGAGGTAGTCCCAAATTTTGATAGTCCGGTCGTCACCTGTCGTGACCAGGTATGGCTTATCAGAGCCAGGGTAGAAGTCGACGTAGTTGACTCCCTTGTCATGCGCGTCCATGGTAAAGTTAGCTGTAGGGGAGCCAAGGGACCACATCTTAACAGTCCGGTCAAGACAAGCAGATGCAAAGGTATTCGAGTCTTTTGGGTTGAAAGTGATGTTCATGATGTAGTGGGTATGGCCTTCATAGACCTGGCGCGAGTTGAGCATGAGTGTAAACCGAATCATGATAGCACACCTGAATACATTTCCACTGCTTGTCCCAATCCCAAGCTTTGATAGTCATGTCATCACTCCCAGTAAGCACGATGCTCGCGGTTGGGTGTACGGTGAGACATCGTATATAATCAGGGTGGGCCTCGAAGGCGACTACTTTCTCATGCGTATTGTAATTGAAGACGCGCAGCTGGAAGTCGTCCGAGCCAGCAACAAACCAGTTTTTTCGGGGAATAAACTTGACACAGCGTACAGGGACAGAGGAGACCTCGAAAGTCTTGACAAGTGCGCCAGTTTCGTGGTTGTAGATGTTGACGGAACCGTTGTACAGACCTGTTAGCAGCCATGGCTCAGTAGGGTGGAAATCAGCGCCTTTGACCCGGTCGGATCGAGAGAATAATTTTCGCTTGTTATGTCTAGATTAGATTTATTAAGATAGCATGGCTCTGGGACTTACATTGACATCGAATAACATGGCGTCGGCGTCGTTCAGCTCGACCTGGACGGTGTTTACAGTACAGTATAGTGACGCTTATGGATATTTCTCCACCCCTCGAAAAAGGGTCATGAAACGTGGCTTCTGCCCAGCGGGTACTTTTGGTAAGTGTCTTTTGAATCTCGTGATCAATTCTGTCAAAAACACCTCCAATTATTGAAACGATCTTCCAGGACTTTATTATCAAGGGTACCTTATTTTCTCCTTGGTCAGGAGTCCAGAATATACGCCCCGGATCGTGCGGAGCGGGCCCGGATCTCCAGTGGCACTGCGCTGAACGTTAGCAAGCAATTCCATGAAATCTAGCCTTTAATTTATTCAATTGTAGAAGATGCATCGTGGTGCCCTGTGCGGTGGAATGATGACTCGGACTCACTATAGCTCGCTGCCTCGCGCATTCCATTAAGTTATGCCATGAGGCGCAACGCCTTTTATGGCATGGCCTTCAAGAAAGTTTTAAATTGGGCGCTGAGGCACTAGTTCAAGTTTAGAACTCTTTCTTCTCGTCAGGACATTGACTCTTCCCCAAGCATTTGCAGGTTTTTGTTGTCGTAAGTGCACCCTCCTCTGAGAATTGGAATTGATTTGGTCTAAGACTACTGGCAGGACATGAGTCACCTGCACAATATTAACTGCCTTCCAGCGGAACTTCTCCTAAGCATCTTCCAACTCACAGGGACCCTCGGTGGTCCCCGCATACTACCCGGAATTGTCATTGCATCGCACGTCTGCAAGCGCTGGCGATACCTCACCCTCCAAACACAGTCTCTCTGGACTATGGTATCAATTTCCAACAGAGAAAAAGACTATGCCCACCATGCGCGGGTCTGGCTGACACGAAGTGGGGTATTACCAGTTGATATAACTATCCACTGGGACTCCTCATGGGTGGAACGCAAAGCTGAAGAGGCTCTCTTTCCCATTGACGATGCAGCTCCATGGGCTGATGAGACCTCACAATACATTAGACGCTCGTACATGGAGTATGAGCGATTCCGTGAACTCAAGCGTCAGTCACTCATGTGTGAGCTCGAATGCCACAAACACCGTTGGCGCTCCTTCAAATGGAATGCAACTTCAGACCGCCTAATCGAGGATAGCGCAGATGCAGACGTGGTGAGTGCGGCGTGTTTTACATCTATACATAGATCGCGCATTTTCTTACTGGACTGAATAAGCAGACGTTGGTGGATCCTTCCGATTACTTCCCTGGCATGGATTCGAATTCAGCGATTTATATGGTGGTGTCACGCGGCTTTCCCTCGTTGTCTTCCATTGACAAAGTGTCACTCGATTCTAAAGCATCAGTTTGCACAAGGAAGAATACCTTTTTTACAAGACACAAGACCAGCGTGCGTAGGTTCTGGTCAAAATTCTGGGATTTGTTGCACTTTTAGACTTTCTGTCATCGAATTGGCTATAGTACGTGTCCAGTTACTAACCTACAGTGCATACGTACCGAGTACAAATGATCGCGTATGTATTTCTCAAAATTTCACCATTGACTCCGTACTCCTAATTATAAGTTACTTTTGATAGGTCGGGTGTCGTGTTAATGTCACGATGACGCTTGCGTACATACGTAATACGTACATACCATCTGGTTCTGTTTGGCAAAGGCCTCTGTTTTCAATATATACAAACAACTACTGTGTCATGAGCTGCTGGCATGACTGGTTTTTTTGCAAGACTCGGGTTTCCGATATCTCATACCAGCCGAGCGCAGCAATGTATCATGGATTCATATTGACTTTAAAAACCACTCGACTGCCCTCTTCCATTTGAATGGGATACAGACACTCCACAATTTGTGTCATGCCTGCTTGTTCAGCTTGTCAGGACTCAGAAAACCTACTAGCGTCTAACTGATACAGCGACAAAAGAAGGTGGTCAGGGTCTAAAAGTGATGGGAATGGAAGACACGAGTCCTGGGGCAGGTAACAACGTGTACGATCGTATCGCCTCATACATCCCCCTTCTTACCGCATCACACACATTCACGAGGCCAAGAAGCTGTGCCCATCGCGGAAGGGGCTTGGCTTTTGATCAATGTGACCTGAAGCATGGCGCAATATTTCTCTCTGCAACTTTACAGCATATCCACCTGATGACTCCCGACTTCTGATGGGGTCATTCCTTCTCGTCTGCGACACTAGCATTATCAATGTTCGGATCCGCAGCGGGCTTTAGGGTCTCACATGAGGTATCTTACACCTCATAGAACCTACACGTGTTCTCCTGATGGTCAACCACGCGATTATCATCCACTAATCGCGCGCATCTCATCATATCACTGCTGTTTAGAACCGGTGCTTGTGAGTAAAACACGTCTTTCACCTCGTCGAAACCGCCAGGCATCGCTACTATTTAGACCGCACAGTCCGACGTTTGTCCACATTGCACCCCCTTGACATCCTACCCGCACTGTGTGCTCTAGTGTGTTATCTATAGTTTTTGCCCGCTTTTTGCTTTTTTTTGCTTTCTTGACGATCGCCCACATCGCTTGTAAGCAAACTTGAAGCGATGTCTACAACGCCGCCTCCCAAGAAGACCCTTCGCTCTCGTATGGGAACTGCGATGCGTCGCTCCTCTACGAGCTGGGGTCTCCCAGGGTTGCCAAATCGCTCAGGCTCAGCAACTCCCCCTCTCACGGAGCCTGATTCTGCCTCCATAGCAGGATCAACCTCTCCCAAGTTCGAGCGCGAGGCCTCCACCGCGTCCCTTACGCAGGTCGACACCACACCTCCTCCTAGCCAAATGGCCCCCAGTACCATCCCTGAGTCACCTGCTCGTGAAGCAGCTGCCCTTGCTAGTGAGGCGGCTTCTCCAAATCAGAGTACATCTCCACTCTCAGGGGGCGTTTTTACCGCCGAACATCCTTCGGATCCTTCACCCCGAGCGCCTGAAGGATCACGCAAAGCTACCGAAGAGCCCAAACCCGAGCCCGCCTTCGCAGTTCCTTCCGTCGTGGTTAATTCGCCCGAACCCGCGGCTGAGAGTACCCTTTCCCCTGCGTTCACAGACGAACCAGAAGAAATTGGCCCACCCGAAGAGCGTGCTCAAGCATCTGCTCCTCCAGCCTCAACACAGGCTCCCAGTGCCGCTCCGAAACCTGCTCCAGCTCCTTCTACGACACCTCCACCTGCTCTAGCCCGTGAACCCACACCTCCAGTTCCAGCTGCTTCACCTCCTCCAGCAGCTGCTCGACCCCGTGAACCCACGCCTCCAGTTCCTACCGCTTCACCTCCTCCAGCAGCTGCTCGACCCCGTGAACCCACGCCTCCAGTTCCAACCGCTACTCCTCCTCCAGCAGCTACCCCACCCCGTGAAACTACGCCTCCAGTTTTAACCGCTTCACCTCCTCCAGCAACTGCCCCACTCCGTAAATCCACTCCTCCAGCTTCGACCGCCACTCCTCCTCCAGCAACTGCCCCACCCCGTAAACACACCCCTCCAGCTTCGACCGCTACTCCTCCTCCAGCAGCTGCCCCACCCCGTGAACACACCCCTCCAGTTTTAGCTGCTACACCTCCTCCAGCAGGAAAGGTAACATATGCCCCTTCAGCAGCACCCCGGCAACTTGCTTCCTCGTCAGCACCTGCGCCCACTGCACCATCTGCTCCATCTCGTGCACAAGCTTCAACACCTCCAGCACCTCCATCGGAGATTTCTCGTGTTCCACCCTCCGCACCACGAACACCCCCTGCACCACGAACACCCCCTGCACAGGCACCTGGCCCTGCCACAACTCCGGGTTACTTTGACCTTTCAGTTCCCCGCACATCGTCTCCGCTGGATGAGCATGTAGATGAGGGAGCAAACGTCTGGGCAGACCATATCTCCCCTTCAGTTTCGCCTCCCCTTCCACCTGCGTCAGCACCTCCACCTGCGCCAGCGCCTGCTCCTGCTCCTGTCACCGAATTCGACCCACTTGCCAATCGCCCAGCAGCATCCAAAGTAGCGAAAACCACTTCCCGTCCTCGGGGTTCATCGGTCTCCTCCGCGCAGGTGATGGCACAGCGACAACCGAGCCGGAAGCCAAGCTCGACCTTCCAGCCTCGTGAGCGGGAGATCATTGGTACTACATACACTTGGAGTAGTCCGAACAGTGAATTCAACCAAAGCAAGGCAAGCCTGGCGTGCGTCTTTTCTACTTGTTCTCTTTGACAATGGTCTGATGAACAATCCAGAATACATTCGGAGGACCCGTTCGCAGATTCGGGCCCGCGCGCTCCGGGCTACCATCTCTACCCCCCTCAACAGCCGGCTGACCTTGCATCGCCCATTGTTCACGAGTATGTGCTGTACTTTCTGCACTAGCTTTGAAATAATGATCCTGTTAGTCATTTTGACCCTCGATCACCACGAGATGAAAGCATGATAGCTCCTGCTGAACCAGTGGCGGTACCACTACCTGCCCTGCATGAAGTCATGCTTTCCCAGTGAGTTGTGCGTTAATGTCCCTCAACGTATCTTAATCCTTGATAGCTCCGTTCGGCAAGTCTCTTCAGGCTACACCTCGAGCGACGGGGCTAGTACTGGGTACATCCCGAGCAGAGACATACCCATAGAAACGAAGTTTGTCCAGATCGGTATTTGCACGAGGTCCTACATCTAACCTAACCTTACAGCGAGCGTCTCCCCTTGATCATTCGCCAAGGTCGCCCGTCTACGCCTCCCATCGTGACCACGTTTTCGCAGCCCAGCCCAGAGATAGAATCTTATCATCCACATGCCTTCGGTGTCAGCCACCCCACTCCACAGCGAGCCCAGCCTGCTCGTCTCGATGGCAATGGCTCCGCACATACTTATTCGTATGGGTCAGTGTCCAGACCGTATGCTGGCCGTGGATGGATAGAGCAGGCGCTACCTCACGGTGCCAAATACTTTGTGAATCCGCGTGTTCAGGCTACGACCGATATTGATCTTCGCAACTTGGCTAAGTTGGAAGCGGTTATGTCGGTTGTGGAAATGGCCGGTAGTGCCCCTGAAGGATGTGAAATGTGGGTCAGAGAAGGTCCCGCTGTGAAGAGAGGTTGGAGGAGACAGAAGGTGACTGGAGGGCCGGTTATCAGTTGGATAGACCATCGAATCCGCAGAGTCTCGAGTGATATCCCTAGTGTTGATGGAATTATCTTCTCTGGGGAAGATGACAGTCAGTGATGCCTTTTCGTATTCAACTCACTTGCTAACCAGAACATACAGGACTTGATGACGAATACAGATACTGGTCATTTGTGGAGACTCACCCCGCGCATATTTCATTGCCGCCAAGTGCTCGGCAGGAAGCTCTGGACGCTCTTCATTGGTCTTACACAGACCCATTGTTGGCACATCCTCAGCCAATCCCTCCTCCCTTCACCCAGGAGGAGTGTCACAAGTTGTTAGGCCATCTTAATGGTCCGTTATCGTCCACTTTCTCAAGTGACCACTTAATCGATCCCTTGTGCAGACCCCAACCTGCGGTCAACTACAACACATACGCGGATGATCGCCCGTATCTTGCTTCGCGTCGGTATGTAGTACTCAAATAATATTGAACACCCCTTGATTGTGTTACGCTGCAGCTCACTGGCGTCAAATGCACTTCCGACCACACAAGCCTCTTCCCCACGATGTCCCTGTCATGCGACGCCCCATACGACGCGTTCCTGTAGGTCGCATGATTGTCGATATCATTACTGGTATTCTCTGCCTCGGTATTCCATTCTTCCTCGTTGACCGGTCAAACTATGGTGGCCACATTGACTTGGAGGGCAACGTCGTGTCTAATTCTGGTGGTCCTTTGTTCCTGGCTGGTGCTTGTGCATGTCTAGTTGTGAGCGTCATCCCTCAGCCTGGGGTTAGATAACTAATATGATCCAGGCCGCTGTCATCCTCAGTGCTTCTGTGACACTCATGACATTACCTGGTCTGAGTGGTATCGCACGCATGTCAGGTCTCGTCGCCATCATGTGCTCAGTATTGAGTATGATCACCTCGTTCATTTCCATCATACGTCAGAAGACGGAATTAGCGCACGGAACGCCCACATCGGGCTCCGAAGGATTTGTACTTCTCTCTGTATGTTCTTGTCACTTGCTTCATGATGAGCCTATGCTAACATCACCCTGTTCTTAGCGCCGAAGTGTCCTCCTATCTCTCCCACTTGTATTCCTAGCCTACTCTGTCGCAGGCTTCATCACTGGCGTTGTTATCTACTCATTCAACGGAATAGCGAAAGGCTCTCTACCACAGGTACATTGATGACTGCAGTCATAGTTAGCGCTCGGGATCTTAGCTGGTGTTGCCAGATCCAGTGCTTATGGCTTCTTTCAATGTCTACTGAAGCTGCTTCTTAACGATTTATATAGTGTGTATATTAGAACTGTATATCACGAGCCTGTCACGTCCTACCTTATGTTACCATATGACATGAAGTCCAATACAACTTTCTGATGAATCTCGGTGATATCGGTCAGCAATGGTACCCCTCATACAACAGCTCCGAGTTCTTCGAAGGATGGGAAGGAGCCTGGGAACTCCCCATAAGCAGACGGATCACAAATTTAATTGGCGGTTTTGCGATTAGATAGGCTTATTGCAAGCTCAGAACTTGAATTTCACGATATTTGGATGAGAAGTGCGTGCATTGAATATGATACAAATAAGTTAAATGCGTGGTGAGAGATGCTAGTGATACATAGTGACGAAAACCAAACCATCAATCAATGACAACGAGCCCATCGAAACTCTTCCTCCCCAACGCCATCGTCATAAACTCCACAGGAGTGGGCATTTTCGTCACCGTCGCTTCCTCCCCGTCCTGAACCACATTCTCCCACTCCTCTTCTTCCTCTCCACCTGGCATGAACACCTTCAACAGTGACGGCGAGTACCCGTTCAGCAACGCAACGCCCTTCCGATCGGCGGTCACAGGAGCAGTGATACCTGGGTAACGGTCCGCGGTGGACAGGTTCCAATACACGATCTCCGGCATCTCGTACCCTGCCTCCTTGTACGCCTTCTCGATGACATCATGGTTCGTCTCCCACTCTGCCGCATTCGGTGCAGTCACCAGAAACTCGTCCGAATTGTACGATGGAGTGTTTTGCTGAGACGCATCGAACTGCATATCCGTGAACACGAAGATCCGCTTGATCATCTGGTCCTGAGGCACGGCGTGCTTCTTGGCAAGCGGGAGGAGGAGGTCGAGGAAGACGGCGTTGAAGTTGGTGTTCATGGTCCATTCAGATTTCGACATCTTCATCACCGTCTCGACGAGTGAAACAGTGCCTTCAGGATCAAGTACGACCATCTGTGGATTCTCAGAAAAAGTTATGAACGCGTCCTTGAAAGGCGGCTTCGCAAGACGCGCCAAGATGAGACTAAGGGAAATAGCAGGCCAGATGGGATCTACAAAGGACCGGCGTGATCCGCCATGGGAATAGTTGACACTGCCCATGGACCCCGAGACGTCACAGACGGCAATGCAGCTGTCTAGTTCCCCAGCCTCGCGCAGACGCTCGAGGAGCGTTGCCCACTGTGCCTCCACCACACGCGCCTGTGTCTCCGCGAGCTTACGCTTGTGCTCCTCGATGGCATCTTTCAGGGATCCCTTCCTTTTCATTGGCGAATGGTACACGCATGCCGCGGCCTGCATGACAAGCTCGTGCGGGAGGAGCGTTGCACCACTAATCTGCTTCTTTCCTGATTCCACATCTGTCAGGTAAGAAACAAAGCGGTCAGGATCGTGATTGAAGAAATGTTCCTTATTGTTGTCCATGCAGACGGATGAAACACGGGAGTAGACGATTTCGGACCAGCGATTAGCGGACATGAGAGGCTCGGGGAGGGACTTGAGACGACGAGAAGGTGAAAGAATGTGGCGGCGGAGGAAGGAACGCAAGACATGCAACTCCAGGGCACTGGGGGAAAGTGTGACAGGGATTTTGTGCGCAAGGCAAGATGTGATTTGAGCATGGTGCAGGAGGATGCAGATAGCGGAGGTGATGTTTGTGACCCTATCATGCGACCCCCCAGGAGAGGGCGCCCATTTTGTCGCTAGGGAGAGTGAAAATATGAGAGATACGCGGTCCTTCTGTTCTGCATCCGCTGGAAGGGAGGCTAGCTCATGAAGAATCGAGACATCTTTGACAAGCCGATCTGCGAATAGCCTGGAAACCGCGATATACAGAGCACGATACTTTGGCTGCCGTAGTTTCTCCACAATTCGGGCGTGGTTCATACCATAGGTCTGAACGCGCCTTTCCCTCGACCATGCTTCCTGCTCGGCATTAGACTTGAATTTAGGGCGAGAGTTGCGAGGTGTATAATTATGAAGGAAGCTGAATTGATCAGGGGCAGGATGAAGCTCGTCGACAGTGGCCAATGCGAGGATGTTGAGCAGGTCCTTCCAGTACCCGTGAGACATGTTCACGCGCTTCTTGGTACTTTTGCCTTTGACAGGACGGAGGCGAGTACAGACAGGCTCTACAAGAAGATGGAGGTTGGAAAGAGCAGTGCGAGGGTGGTATTGGAAGAGCCAGCCAAACGCCATGTAAAAGAGCTCCTTGTCGCCTTTGCCATCATGGATACTCCTGAGAGACCAGACGATTCGGAGGGTGAGAGCTGGGTCTTCAGCCCAGGCCTTGAAAAGATAGTCATCAACGACAGACCCAGATACACCAGGACGTATGCCATTGAATGCATCGAGTGTGGCCGAAAGAGTGGAGCTAAAGGCAGGCGAATAATTCTCAGTGAGCTTGTGGTGAGCAGTCGAACGGAGCGCATCCATCATAGCATTGGGATGAGATGGAGAAATTTCGGTGATCATTTCAACAGGGCTAGCATCCTCAGAAACAGGAAGGAGAACGTCAAGGAAGTTGGGATTGGTGAGCTCAGGGATAGCGGGGAGAGTGACATCCTGGGAGGAAGCAGCAGCAAGGGGGGCAGTCATAGTGGTAGTTGTGGACATCCTTGCAGTAACGGCAGAAAAAATGAGTTAGGTCTGATAAATTGGGTTGTGGTGCAGGTGGCAAGACGAGCAAGACAAAGACATCCCCTGAGTAATGGGGTGCTCTTTATAAACCGCCAGACTGGCTGTGACATTCTGACTCGGAGTCGTCAGTCACGATGACTCCACTATACCTGAGAGCTCTCGTCATCACTCAGCACAGAGATGAGTCGATGAGACTCAAATCTTTGCAAATTGAAAACGGAACCGAATGTCGTTATGAAATTGCCATCAACAACTTGAATGTCGCGGAGTTCTAAGTCAGGATGTAAGTGGCACTGGAATAATGCAAGGACACGAGAAAACGTGGTGTTCGAGATCAACTCGTTTGTATCACCAACAGGAACAGCTAACTCTGTTTGTCGTGCTCTCCCTTTATATAGCCCAGAACTTGATCAACCGAAGGCCGCATCTCGGTCTGCGTCGACCAACATTGTTCAATATAGCACCAGTGATCATCGGCAATTACAGGCGATGCGGGTCGTGTTGGCAGAATGCCTTTAGATTTGGCCACGATGACACGAGACTCTGCCTTTATGTCGAAGTACGGGATGCGGCCAGATAGCACCTAATAAAATATTTGGAATCATTCATTCGCTCAAGATAAGAGGCTCTTGGCGTTACCTGCATCATAATGCAACCAAATGAATAAATGTCACTCGCTTCATTTGGCTTGCTAGCACATTCGTCGGAACTTTCAAGATCAAGCGGTATGATTTCTGGAGCAGCGCAACGAATTGCGCCTGATCTGTAAGATGCGAAGAAAGACGTCTCATGATCCGCCAGCAGGCGCGACAGACCAAAGTCCGCAAGGCGAGCATCCCCGTGCTCATCGATCAGAACATTAGGCTGTAATTCTATGAGCAACACGGACTGACTGGTGAAAAAAAAACAGCGACATACAGGCATAAGGTCTCCGTGTATAATGCTTTTAGAATGCACTGATTTATCGTGTATCGTCGAAATGAGGTCACATAGCCACAACTAAATTCACTCACGATACTGCAGACCTAAAACGACTTGGGAGAGCTGTATTTCGACTGATGTGAGGATGCGGTTATAAGACACAAATAATAAGTGCTCACAAGAAGAAAGAGGATATGCATTTCGGGCGGCGGCTGCTGCTCACACCACATCGTATTGAGATATTCACCGAGAGAACCGTTTTTCATCCACGGACACACTAGCGCTGGGAGGATGCCAAAATCGTCCGTAATGCCATAGAGAGGCAGTATATAGCTGTGTTCTAGCTTTTGCCAAACAAAGACTTCCTGGCGCAGTTTCTGGATAGAGAGCGATGGTAGATGCCATATACATCGACTGCATAAGAACCAACCTTGGTCAATTTTTGTATATCCTCTGGACGCCTTGATTGCACTATGAGAGCCTTCACTGCAACGTCTTGCGGGGATACCTGTTAGGATTGAGTTGATTTTTGGAAAGCAAACCAATTAGTCAACGAACTTTAGTACCGTTTCGGAGGAAGGGATTTTCCAATATACACTTCCAAATATTGCCGAATCCGCCATTGCTGTGGGGGTACGGTTGGGTGCGTGAAATATGAGCTGTGAGATTCTTAGGTTCCTTGCCGTATCTTTTGAAGTCAACTTCCCTGGACATAAAGACATTCAGCCTCAGCTCGAAATGATGCATGTTTCGGAGAGAAATACACACACATTTTTGGGCAATGTTGCGTCTGTGATGAACGAAGATCACTCTCGCAGGAAGGGGCTTCACATGGAACAGCAGGGTCCTCGAATGTCGAAAGCGACCCAGAAGGCGCGGTAACATAAGACGATTCAGAGTCAGTGCTACTTGGGGGAGAATCCAGGACAGCTTTTGATTCATCGGAATCATTGCCCATTTTTGGGAAATGTTGCGTCGGCGATGAACGAAGATCACTCTCGCAGTGAGGGGCTTCACATGCAACAGCAGGGTCCTCGAATGTTGAAAGCGACCCAGAAGGCGAGGTAACATAAGACGATTCAGGGTCAGTGCCACTTTGGAGAGAATCCAGGACTGTTTTTGAATCATCAGAACCATTGCCCTATCGGCATACAGAATTCGGTGAATGTCTGTCACTGGGCGCTCGCTAATAAGCAAATACTCACTGGAGTGATATTCTCCCTAGTGAAGTATGACATAGACGGCAATAAATTGACGCGCAGCCATCTCATCAAGTCAGTTCCTAATCATTCGTCATCAGCGTTGATCCATCAGGTAGAACACTACTCGCCGTTAGATTCTGAATCCTCCGCAACTGGATGTGCCATGATGTTGGGGTAGCAACGAAGAGAAGACTGGGTAACTCTTTCGAGAATGGAAAGTGTGAGGAGCTACAGCAAGTGGAGAGCGAGCTCATATTTATTAGACTGGGAGCATCCTTGCAAGTTTCACAGAAGTAAGCAGTGAACATAAACTTGCCACCACATATCAGCACGACCACTCATTTCGAATCTTCTGACGCGCCAGAACATGCGATCTTGGCTGCAATTTTTCTAAAAACATTCAGTGGATGATCACTTTGGTCACGGCGGCTGAGCCTGATCCCAAATGAACGAATTCACCGTGGCAGGTAGGAGTAGGTTTGATCATGGTGTAGGTTTGCGGAGTTCATCTGGTAGACCCTTGTAACATCAGGTGTCCTTACTGCAATAGTGTTGGTACTTACAATGCTGTTAACTCCACAAAAGTCATGGCTTCTCATATCACAAGAACAGCTCAGACGAGTACAACTCGGTGCTGTGCAGCGGCCAACCAGTGCTTCTCCGCGAACAACGCTCCTACTGGATATGAACACTTGTCATGGATGCGACAAGCTGGTTTGAATGCCCCTGTGAAATCCAACTTGGTGTTCATGAATTTGAGTCTGGTAGTTGTGGCATACCACACATACCCGGGCCATACTGGTACACAATGGCCTACTAAGAATGTCTGATACTCGCGGGGAATTAGCCTATCATATTCGGATGTTCGCGGAACAAGCGCTCACTGGGCTGGGGGCCACTGAATTTTACTCTGCAAATTGAGTTTTGTGCACCCTGGTTCGGTATCGATTATCCCTGCCGCTGATCGATCGGTCAGGTCAGCGGCCATCCACCGTAGTCCTACTAAGGATGGCATTCGAATACGCATATGCAATTGAATTAGGTTAGTACTAGGGTCTTCTTTTCTAAGTCCGCCGCTTATTTTTCGCACGTGACTGAACTGCGCAACTTCATGGTATCATGCTCGTTTGACGCTGTGTCTGACACCCCTCTGAGCTCACTGCTGGTATGACTATTCATGGTATGTTTAACATCGTCTCTGTTACTTCGGATCATGCCAGTATGAGCTCAGCATTAGTACTCGCAGGCTCCACTCAGGGCTACTAGAACCTGGTCATTTCTAACCATAGTGAGAATGGTATCCGAAGACAGCGTCGAATGAGAAAGCTGCGCAGTCCAGTGCCATTCTGGGGTATCTCTCCCGACCAAGTATCGTAAAAGGTGGGACCCTTTTGTTTGTCCAGCTCTGCAACTAAACAAAAGCGGTGCGTCCCCCAATCCGCGAATGCCCTGACCTACTAGGACCAGTGAATCCCTAGTTATTCTAGTACTTATCAGAACCACCTGATATTAAAATGATGGTATCTTCTTGACCCCGGTGAGTCTTTCAATCCCCGTCATGAATTCACGCAGGCATACTAATCAAACCAAAGCTTGTTCTGTGTAGGCTTGTTTGAATGAATTGTCACACCTGTAGTGAGCCTGGTTTTCATACGCACTGAAATTACCTTTCCACATCTAGTATCATTTATGTCCACAGGCCTCGCAGCAGAGTGATGTGTGACCTGTTAGCATTCCGAAATAGATCGGCTCTCTGAAACCATGTTAGTAGCGACATGTTCGACTGACGTTATTTAGTAAAGGTTCAAGTTGGACCCTACCTGTGGTACCAATCTTTTTTTATGTATTGTCGTCTTCATTGTCCTACTCGTCAAGCTCACGGTTTCTGTGAACAGCATCCTCTGCCTTTGTTGTCCAACCCTAGTGCTCATGAATGGCACCACCTCTCTGCGTCCCCGCTATAACCCTTAAGTTACACCAATTCCGCGCCCGCCTCGCAATGAGTATGCCGTCGCCGCCGGTCAAATATTTTCGGAACAGCGCATCACGACCAAGCAGTATGTCCGCGTCAAGATCTAGCGTCAGTCCCCTTCGCGTTCGTTGTCGAGATTTTCTCCCTTGTTGTCTTTCCCCACCAGTTAACTCTCCTACCGCTACCTCGCAGCAGGCGCCTTCATATTTTTTCATGTAGTCCCACCTAGTGGATACCACCCTACTGTCCAAATACATGTTCCTGTCGAATATTGGTAGTCATAATTTGTATATTGCATCTTCATCTCAGTGCTCACTGAGTCAAGCAGACACCAAAAATTGAGTTGGTTCATAATGTTATGTAAATATTGTGAAGGGGACTACACTACACACCCAAGTTTTGTGGGAGAGGGTGGGACACGAAGATGAGGAAGCAGAATTCGGAGCAGCGGTGATTTTCGCTGGTGGCGTCAGAGCTGCCAAGCGGTGGTCGAGGTCTTTACCACTGATGCCCATGCGTTCAGGGCCTGTGTTGGGAGCCCATCATGCATTAAGGAACTCGTGTTTCCCACCTGTTGGAAGCTGATCTCGATCTACTTTATAGGTGACATTTTGTAATACGCCTGACATCACTTCGACGAAAGTACCGGCAAAAGTAGCGAGCCGCATTGAAAAACTCATACTGCAATTTGACACAGTAAAGCTACCGTAATAAAACTTTAGAAACAAAGTTTGCACCAATGCCTGACTCGATTGGCCATCTTGACGCTAAGCTAGTGTACGTGCACCACCGAAATGAACGATATAAGCGTCTTACGAACGCTTGAGACTTCTCGCACTGGTCTGCTCAATTCGAGCCGAGTTCGGCCGGTCAAGCTTCAAGCCTGTCCTAAACGGGACTTGTACCTACGAGCAGTCTATACTCTATGGAAAGGGTCAGGAATGTCAAGGGTGAGCTGATGAATGCGAATGACGAGGTTTAGGGCGTGCGGTTCTATATAATTTACTGCACCAAGTGTTGCGCCGTAAGGTTTAAGGACAAGGTTTGGCGGCGCTTGAATCCAAGTGAACTCGAACTTTTAGAATTGAGCCCTTTTGAGCCGCCGAGTTGACTCGACGTAAAAAGGTGCGTCAGCCGGCCTGTGAATCCGATCAACTGTGCGTGGTGTGGATAGACTTACGAAATACCCACTTCTTGAATTCATGGCATGCCCGTCGAAAGGTATGAATATGGCCGCATGCCTTCAGCGTTCAATTTCTAACACCCACATACTGGCTTGTAACAGTTACAGGTCATGTCCAACGATCTGCCGGGACACATCCCTACAGCTCCTCAACGCGGTTTCAGCGTTTATGATCTGCTTTCATATTTCGAACTAGTGGTAAAGTTACCTTTGACGTTGATGCGATGGTCCTACCGACAGATGGTTCACCATTCGTTTGTTGAAGGCTTGTACCCCAGTCCGCAAGACACCGTTCCGGGTCCAGTCATCCACGACACTGATGTTCCTGAGTACACAAATTACTTCCCTCAGATTTTATTGGCTGAATTTAGAACAGCTCCATAAATTCATTGCCAGATCCTTCCAAGTGGCCCGGGACACCAACCACTCCGGTCAATTGTCAGCGGCATCCCGCGGGAGAACCTCAGTGCAACTCCGCTCCTGATCTCACCAGCCAAATCGTTCGTCAGAAAATATACCCTACGTTGTCGGGTACGTACAGTGATGTTTGGCTATCAACGTGGTCCCATGACAATGAAAAGCGTGATGTGAGTGAACTTTACATATCAGAATCCTCACAACATAAATGACTTTTTTTTAAAGGTTGCGGTCAAATCATTGAAAATTCCATTTTCGAATGAGGATGAAAAAAGTAATAATCGTCAAGTCCGTTCTTTCGTTTGTGTCCAGGAAAAGCCGCTTACGCACGACTTAGAAACTGATGGGTAAAATATCATCTTGGGCGCAATTACTCCACACAAACGTGCTGCCACTATATGGAATTGCATACGATTTCGGACACTTTCCGTCACTGGTGACGCCCTGGGTAAACAACGGGTCGTTGAATGACTACATCGCTAATCATCGTTTGTCGTTGACTACCAAGCTTGATCTCGTGAGACTTTAGCCTTTTCGATGGAAATGATGTTTCTTACTCTTGCACTTGCATGGCATTAGGCCAAACAGGTAGTAGCTGGCCTTGGCTATCGTAAGTTTTTTCATTCGTCATGGCAATGGTTTTCATTGGTTTTAAATATAGTACACGCCCATTCCATTGTGCACGGAGATATATCTGGAGTAAGATAACTGTCCCTAGAAGTATGGTTCGCTGATACCTGTCCAGCTCAATATCCTGGTCGACGATGAGGGTAGAGCACAATTATGCGACTTCGGATTCATGTCGTTGCTCGCAGAAATCCCATCTTTGCCACAGCCATCTGGCGGTGTCCGCTCTGCGGTGCGATGGACCGATCCTCAGTTATTCGACGTCCAAAAAGGCGAAATCAACCCATGCATCCCAACGGAGCAGACTGATATCTATTCAATAGGCAGCGTTCTCCTGCAGGTATAGTATATCACGCCTCGTGGCATCACCCGCTTACCATATTGCTCTAGTTGCTCACGGGATCAATACCTTACTACGATGTCAAGGATAACATCCGTGTCCTTGTATTATCTTCTAGAGGCGTAAAGCCCAAATGTCCTCCAGAAACGAACATCACTAGTGCACAGTGGAGTTTTATTCAAAGATGTTGGTCTCCTCCCGGACTTGCCAGTCGTCCAACTATTGAGGAAATGGAAGAATGTATCGAGTCTGAGCTACGGATGGCAGATATGGGTTAGCGCACTTGAATTCCAGTACGTACATCCACACGTTTCATAACACGCTCGCAGACAGAATATTTCATGCAGGCTGTGTTTTGCCGTACCGCTAGCTTTATTCGGTGTTTCATGTTGCTCCTTGTCTTATCTTACTACTACTAGTGGTCGTCCTACGTGCCTGATTGTGACCGGACCCTTACATCCTTGTTCCATTTGATCTTTCGGTTGTTGGTTGCATGCGAATGAAATCGCCTGCGGTTCGATGGAATAACCACGAGAAAGATAAATAGTTCGTGGGCCCCGCTTATGGTACGAGGATAAAACCGTGCAACGATGTTTGATGAATTAATAGATTTTATATTGTCCAGCAGCTGGCATCACGACCAGTAAACGCCGACAGAAGGTGCTTGCATGCGATCAGCCGCATCCAGAATACGTCACGCACCTACTCCAGCTCAGACGATCAATCCTGGGTCCGAGACTCGGAGGAAGACATACAATTTAGTAAGATGAAGCTCCCCCTTTCTAAACTGGGGTTCCACGTTCAAAGGTGGGGTTCCATCGGAGGTCACTGCATCACGAATCAATTGACGTCTTTAGCATCGTGTTCCGCTCAGAGAGGGAAGTGAAGGGTAGGAACTCGAGGCAGATTGAGTAACGAGTTACGAGCAAAGGAGCGAGTGAGTGATTGTATCATATCCGCTGACACCATCCAAACGCAAGCTAGGAACAATTAACGCAACTTTATCGGCTATTTGTAAGTACTACGTACTCTACGGGGAAAGCAACATTTAGAACAGGCTGCGGTGAAAATATCAAAGGAAATTGTGGCTGTGACAGGAAGGAGGGCACAAACTTTGAGGGGTAGGCATTTCAGTGTGGAGAAAAAGAATCCGAGATCAAACACCAGGGTACCGGGTTGTATTTCGGAAGCTTCTGACAGACGCCCATTTTCAGGGGGTGGGCGGGGTCAGCATTGGCTGCCAAGGGTCTTGGCTGGGTTCATATACACTTATACTACCTAGCGCATGTACATAGTGTAGACTAATATATATCGTGATCGTCGTGGACATGCGGCCTCTAAATTGAGCCGGGGCCGGGATAACGGTCTTACGGAGATCTATGTGTATGCAAGGTACAAGGGGTTTATAAACGTAAGGATGATTATTATTTGTTGAGAAGAAACGGCGTTCATGAACTGGTTCAAAACGGGTACAGACGCCCATATTCGCCAAGCAGAGACGTGCCACTGTTCTATCTCAATTTCGTAAACTCAGCTGCAGAGCTCTCCAACTCCTGTAATATCGATTCTCGAAGGTCACATGGCACTATATTGGGCAATTGTAATTTGTGAACGAGCAGAATATAATTTCACACATTAGGAAGGTGTGCTGCTGACATAAGGCAAAATTTGTTGATATTTCCAAACTTGCGTCAGCTGATTAATCTTATGTAAGCGCTTAAGCTTCCGACCTACGTCCTGCATTCATGCGAACTAGCAAGCATGCATTATTAATTTATTCTCGGACCTGAAGTTTGCAAAATACCAATGGTAAGTTCTTCGTAATACTCGCCTGAGAGCGCTTGTATGTATGACAACTCATTAGCTAAGGTTGCAGTGGTTGATGGGGGAGAAATGGACGACTACCAGTTCGCTGCCTTCTTCATTATTGAGAAGTTCCAGAAATGCCTGTGCCTGACTACACGAGAAGTAAATTACGAGTTTGTTGCGCGTGGTATAAGTTCATATCTCTCAAGTTGTTCCTTACACTCATACGATTATGGTATCTTCTGCAGGACGTATATGGTGATTCTGCTTTAATGTGGGGCCTAAGGGGAAATGGGTTGCTAGCTGTGGTCTCTCTTGGCACAATCTTCCGGCTTGTACACATTCTTTACTCTGGCCAGAAAACTCATACAAAGAAAGGGGAACCTGGCCGTGAAGCACCGCTCAAAAAGGTATATGCAAGTAAGTCATTTGTTTCCTCAAATTGATCCTCATCTTGGAATGGTGATTGCTGCGAGCAACATATCTTGCCACTCTTCTCCTCTGACGATTTCAACTGACTGTGTTATTGTAGCAATCCCAAGGATGTAGCCTGCGATGACACCCTGCATGCAATGCTGGAGATCACACTCGAAAATCCTCCGCTCGTTATGACAGGTTTGCCTTAGCACACTTGAAATCCAGTACGTACATCTGCACATTCATAACATGCTCACGGACCGAACATTTCATACAGGTTGTTTTTTGCTGCACCGCTAGCTTTATTCGGTGTTTTGTGTTACTCCATGTCTTGTCTTACTAGTGGTCATCCCACGTGCCTCGTTGTGACCGGAACATTGTATCCCTGTTCCATTTGGTCTTTTGGTTGTATGCGAACGAAATCGCCTGCAGTTCAATGGAATACCAGTGAGTGTCAATAGCTCACGGGCCCTGCCTATGGTGCGAGGATAAATACACAAGGAAACTTCAGGAATTAATATTGTCCAGCAGGCATCACGGCTAGTAAACACCGACCAAGAAGGTGCTTGCATACGAGCACGCATCCAAAACACGTCACGCACCTGCAGCAGTTAAGATGATTAACCCTGGGCCCGAGGCGAGAACTGAGTGGAGGAATTCTATCATATCGAATCAGCATCATGCGGCGATTCATGCCGTCCGGACGCACGCGCAAGCTAAGAAAAATCACCACGACTTTCGGATATTCGTACTATACTTGTTCACTTTATCTCGTACACTACTGTACACCTCGTAGAGTACCACGGCGGTAACAGTTTCCGCGGTATATGGACATGCTTGAGTGTATATACATAGAACATTGAGTTGCTTAGTCAGCATCGAGTCGCTCGGCTGCACTGCTGCAGGATCAATGCAGGATAGCCATCATCACCAAAATTACCTAACTCAGACACGGCTAGACTTGGCCATATCAGACAATGACTAGGCCATCATCCATGTCAGCGATGTCAGCCAAAACCCGGCCCTGTCTGACAATCCCTATGAACGCTAGTGACAATGTCAATCGAGATTGACATCGTCAGCGCAGTTTAGATATTTTGTATCACGCAGACTAATAAAGATATTGAGTGCCGCTCAGATTTATTCAGATATCGAATGCCGCTCAGACTTAGTCAGACTTTTTTCTCTCGTTCAGATACAACACGACATTGATTATCTTCCAGCTAGTACAAGTGATTTGAGTGCAAGTAATGTATTGTAAGTCGTCGACAACGCATGCAGTGTGAGAATGACGGAAACGACAAAGTAACAGGAAAGAGTGCAAACAGGAGTTCCGGATGTGAAGTAGCAGTTATTTCTTCTGCTTCTTCTTAGCGGATATGGCTGCCTTGTGCTTGGTTGAATGGGTTGGAAGTTCAGACTCGCCATCTGAAGTTTCGACTGCTCGTGCCTTGGATTTGCCCTTGCCACGTTTGGCTGGTGCTGCCTTTTGCTTCTTTGGCTTTGGCTGGGGTTCTTCTTCCTCCTCGGAGGTCGTCAGTTCACTACCAGGTGAGTTGCCATTGACTTGCGGTGGAGTCTTTGCTGGTGGAGATGCCGGCTGTGGAGCTGGAGCTGGAGCTGGTGACGGTGACGGTGGTAGTGGAGGAGGAGGTGCCGGTAAATTCTCTCGGGTAGCCAATGGACTCGACACAGCTGGCTTCGTAGAACGTGGAATAGGGCGTGGATGTGGGATGCTGCAAGCCGGTGAAGAAGGTGGAGGTGTGCTTGGAGGGGGGGGCAGGTTCTCTCGAATGGGAATCGTACTTGACCGCGTGGGACAACGAGGGCTATCATGAGCCGGTGAAGAAGGTGGAGGTGTGCTTGGAGGAGGGGGTGAGTTCTCTCAAGTGGGCAATGTGCGATGTAGAGGTGCAGCTGGGCGCTCTGAGTCCAGAGTGCGAGTCTTCGCAGCAGCATTACGAGCTGCCATTTGTGTGCGCAAGCGAGCCAAGTCGCTGCCACCCTTGCGAGCACCCGAGGCTCCAAGTTCATCCGCATTGTCTTTAGCCACGTCACGTCCATTCTCGTTCTTGAATATTTTGCTGTTTTTGCGTGATATCAGTACAATGAAAAAAATAACAAGGATGGCTTACAGGTTCCAGCCCTTCAACAATCGTTCCTTGTCGTCGTCAGGTAAGTCGTCAATAAGCTCGATGATGTAGCGGTAGAAGTTGTTACGACTGGGATGAGTCGAGCTATCCTTGTCTGAGTAGACAATCGGTAAGATACCGGATAGACGTGAGTCTGCTCTTGAATGAGAGATCAAAGGTTCTGGCTAAGGCGAGTGTCGCTGACTCCCTTAGAATAGTAGTTCTTAGACAGTAAGGTTGGAGACCTTACTGAAGGACAATGTTCCAGGTAAAACCCAGTAGATTAAAGTAAAGAATACAACCGTAGGTAGCTAGGTTTATATACAAGTGTTCAAGCGGAGCTTGTAAATGTGTTATCAGAATAGAAGCGTGATAAGAGAAAGATAAGGCGGACAGCCCGCTTGGCGAAGATAGCGAAGATAAGAGATAAGCATGGTACGGACGGCCCGTTTCGTAAGTGAGATAAAAGAAATGAGTATAGGGGTTTAAATGTTACTGTAACATTACCCCTCTGTTATGGTTGAAGTCTCCGACTTCAATATTCCTCGTTGTTGACGTACTCGTCCATGTGTTCGTAGTAGATAGGGTCTGCGTCGGCGTTGCAGAACTCCGGTTCGTTGTACTTGGTGGCATACTCCCGATTTGCCCTGTCTATCTCATCCTGGAGTTCTTCATCTTTCCTGGCCTCCCATGCCGACAATGCTTCGTAGAAGCCTTCATCGGTGTAAACCAATGGGAATAACTCTTTCTCGGCGGCGTAAGGACAATAGATGGAGAGATGACCAGGTTTCTGGCTCTGGCATACGCGGCAATGGTATTCGGGGCAGTTCTTGTGGCGATGCCCGAGTTTCTTACAAACACAGCAAACAAAATTGTCTGCGGAGAACTGGGGTTGTTTTACTGTGATGACGTCGGGGGTCTCGGTGAGGTCAATGACTTCACGCTTCTTTCCTTTAGAAGCTCTAGTCTTCGACACTCCGTGCACGGTAGCTCCTCTGCGGGTCTTTCGTTTAAAAACAACGGTGGGTTCGGGGATGGGTAGTGGTTCTTCAGCTGGCGCTGGCTGAGCAGCAGGCTGAGTTTCTTCTCTAATCGTATCTGTAACAGGTATACTGCTGGGGGGAGTGCTAGTAGAAGGGCTTGGCGGGCGACCGACTTCGGTCTCGTTTCGCTCTGCAACAGTCCGTATAACTGATCTGCAGACAGTGCTAAAAGCAGAAGGAAGCAGCTGAATCTCAAGGCTGCGTATTTGTCTCTGGAGGTGTTGGCAAGCGAGTCTGAGGGCATTGTTTTCTATCTCCTTGAATCTGAGTTCAAGGGCGGAGGTGGCGCGTATAACGTGAATCTGGGATAATATGGGGGCGGCAACAAATGCGGGTTCTTTGGCGAGTTGTTTCTCTAGTTCAATTGCGTGGGGAAGGGACAACAAGGTTGTTTCGACGATGGCGTCGTCGTCTAGGTCAACGATATTTTTCTTGTATGTGGAGTTTTCGAGGGAGTAGGCGGATGAGGATGATCCAGTAATGGAAGGTGTCAATGGGGGAGTCATGTTACTTGGGATGTTTGTTCTGAGGGGAATGGTTCGTTCAGTTCAACTTGTGTCTCCTTTTATACGTTGTTAAGAGTTCTTTCGAACTCCGCAAATTCTCCTCGGGTATCCATTCGTTGCTTCCGGAAGAGTAGCCTATCCAAGATACGAGATAGCGTCTTCGTTTACCCGTGCCCTTATGGCTAAGAATAGCTTCTATTTCGTATTCTTCTTCGCCATTGATAACGTCAGGTGGAGGTTCGGCGTAGTTCGGTCCGTGTATCTCTGTTTCGCGATAGGAGGATAGTTCAGAAGCATGGAACGTGGGGTGAACTTTCCATTGATCTGGGAGTTTCAGGGTGAACGTGATGGGAGATAAGACTGCGGTGATAACGAATGGACCGTATCGCTTGGGCGCAAGTTTCCTAGATGGTAAAGATGTCAGGAGATTGGTGGCCGTGAGCCATACCTTATCTCCTGTCTTCCATGGTCGGTACTTTCCATGGCGAGATCTTTCTGCCATTCGCTGCATAGCAATGTTATGGCAGGCGAGTGCTTCTTCTCGTATCTTCTGGAGGTTCCTAAGTCTTTCTTCTGCTGCTGGCGTGTCTGATACCGGTAAGATGTGGGGAATTCCCCGTGGTTCGTAGCCCATCATGAGGAAGAATGGGGACGTGTTTCTGGCGTCATTTTTTCGATGGTTGTGGACAAATTCGGCGATAGGAAGGTGGTTGGACCATTCTAACGGGTTACTTCTACAGTAGATCCGTAGGTAGGTTTCGAGTTCTTGGTTGAGACGTTCCGTCTGCCCGTCTGTCTGGGGGTGGTAGGCAGTTGATGCAGCAATCTGATATCCAAGAAGTCGGGCGAGTTCTCGAGAGAATTTTGAAATGAACTGTGGTCCTCTATCAGAGATTACTTTTTCGTGGAGGCCGAATCTCTTGAATACGTTCTTGAGGAATAGTTTAGCCACTCCTTCTGAGGTGATGTTTTTGTTACATGGTGAAATAATTACCCCCTTCGTAAGCCCATGGTCTACCATGATCATAATAGAGTCAAAACCACCTGACACAGGTAGATCGGTGATAAGGTCGACAGATACTTGGGAAAAGGGGCGCGTGGCAACGGAGGGAATCGGGCGTAAAGGTGGGGTAGTAGGATGCGTGTCGGCTTTCATCTGCTGACATAAAGCGCATCCGTCGACGTATTTGCGAATATAGGTTCCCATGGCGGGCCACCAAAAATCCCGCTTCACTAGCTCTTCCGTTTTGAACCGGCCGGGGTGTCCCGCTGTAGGGTGATCATGATGTTTAAATAACACATCATGCCGTTGGGCCACTGGTACGTAAGCTCGGTGTTTATAAAAAAGGACGTTATTGGTGCATGTCCAATCGGAGAGGGCGGATTTCATAGGGGGAAGGCACACGCCGTCCAATGCTTGTAAGGCTTTCTGATATACTGGATCCTCGGCAGAGTTACGTGCAATGCTTTCTGATAGGTCATTATCAATCAGTCGTACGAACATGGTATCAGGGAGGAGAATGCGATTTTCATTATCATCCTTTCCGAGTGAATGGTCTGGTCGTCGCGAGAGTGCGTCAGGGGCAGCTAATTTGGTTCCCGCAACGTGGTGTAATTCCAGCTGAAAGTTGGACAAGATGAGCTGCCAACGCGCTTGCCTTCTTGTTAACTTCTGAGCGGAGCGGAAGTACAAGAGATTCATATGATCCGTGAATACTATCACGGTATGGGGGCTTCCTTCCAGGTAGTGGCGCCATTCAGAGAGTGCTCTGATGACCGCCAATAATTCTCTATCAAAGATTTCGTAGTTTTGTTCTGCGGGGTTGAACGATTGAGACAAGTAACCGCATGGGTGGTACATCCCATTTTCATCAGTCTGCAACAGTACTGCTCCAGTCGCTGCAAGCGATGCGTCGGTAGCGATTGCAAATTGTCGAGTTGGGTCAGGGTTCCGTAGTACTGGTTGCGATAAGAAGGCGTTTTTGAGGCAGTCGAAGGCGTTCTGGCAGTCATCTGTCCACAGGAATGGGTGATCTTTCTTTGTAAGGTCAATAAGAGGTCGAGTGATGTCTGAGTAATGAGCGACGAATGCTCGGTAGAAATTGCAGAACCCCAGGAACGATCGTGTGTCTTTTAGATTTTCCGGGGTTGGCCAATGCTTAATTCCATCTACTTTGGCAGGTTCCATCCCTACTTCTCCGGGTCGGATTATTATTCCAAGATACTCCACTTCCTGAGCGTCAAAAGTGCACTTTTCTGGTTTGACAAACAGCTTTTCTTTTCGGAGGATGTTGAGGATTTCAATGGTTCGTTCCTGATGTTGTTGAAGATTTTTTGAGAAGATTAAAAGATCGTCCATGTATATGACTAACCACCCCTCGTTTATCTGTTGTTGACAGAGGTTTGCCATGAACGCCTGGAATGTTGCGGGGGAGTTTGTCAGTCCGAAGAACATGACCGTTGGTTCGAATAGTCCTTCTTGCGTAGTGAACGCTGCTTTCCATCGATCTTCAGGGTGGATTCTAACGTTGTTGTACCCCGATCTTATGTCGATCTTCGTGAAGTACTTGGCGTCATAAAGTCGTTCGATGAGGGATTTAGGCAAAGGGAGAGGGTATTGGTTTCGTATGGTCCAGTCGTTAAGATACCGATAATCTTGACAGGGACGTAATTCCCCGCTTTTCTTTCCTACGAAAAAGAATCCGCTAGCTTGGGGGGATTTAGACGGAACAATGAAGCCTTTTCTGGTGTTTTCTTCAATAAAAGTTTTGACGGCTTCTCGTTCCTTTCCTGATAATGGATAGACTTTTGACGTCTTGGGTACGAATCCTGGTTTGAGATCAATATGATGATCTACCCCGGGCCTTTCAGGCGGAAGTTTGTTAAGGCTGTCTTTGGCGAAAACATCTTGGTACTGGTGTAAAAAGGGGGGAACGAGTTCTTCGAAAGTTTTCTTCTGTTTTTCTATTTCTCCTGCGACTGCGAATTCTTGGGCTTTATTGCTTGTCTTTCCGAAGTTTTGTTCCTTTTTTGATGTTCCATCTCGAACGAGCGGGGTATCGAAAGTTAGATCTTCGATGATGCGCACAGTTGATCCGTCAGTGGCGTATTCAACGAGTATCTCGTCGTTGGCTAGTTGATAGGCTAGTGGGTCGAGGACTGGAGATCTAAAATTTTCTGACCAAACATCTTCTTTAGTGTCATAGTTGGGGACTTCTTCGTCCATTACTTCTTCTACAGAAGCGGTATAGGGGGAGGTGGTTTCATTAGTTGCCACCTTCACCTGTACTGGCTTCCGTAGTTTAGAGTTTACCCAATCTCGGGACGTTTCCTTCTTGACGGTTTTCTCCTGTTTGAAGAGTGGAGGAAGGGATCTTCTTCGTCGTCTCCTATCGATGTTCTTTTCTATAGCCAACGATCTTTTTGTTGATGGAAGTGACACTGTTTTGGTTTCCCAATCGATCTGGGGTTTCAGTGCAGAGAGCCAAGGGAATCCCAGGAGGATTTTGTCTTGTCTGGCTAGTTTTGCTACATTGAATTTTCCGATCATAGTTCGCTGATCGATTTTGACCGTGAGTACGCAATAGCGGGAAATGAGTCCTCCTAGAGCGTCTGATCCGTCTGCAGTGATGACAGGGAAAGGTCGAGAGAGTTTATGGGTTTTTATCTTATGCCTTTTGCAAAAGGCATCGCTAATAAAGGTTCCGGATGCTCCGGAATCGATGATCATGGATGTTTCGACGGTTTGTACGCGTTTATCGGAAAAAATGGATGCAGGGATTCTTAATTCATTTCTGGTTCCGATAGAACATATTAGTCGTACATGAGTGGGATTTACTGACGTCGAGGCAGTGTCCCTTTCTAAAAATCCATCTCCACGAAGCGGCGTTCTACTTCAGTGAAGTCGCTGTCTTCTTCTTCTTCGACTTCTTTCGCTTTCTCTTTCATCGTTTTCCTTCAGATCAGTGTTTTCCTTTTCGGGGTTTCTTCTTCGTTCTTCTCCTTCTTTCTTCTGAGAGGAGTTTTGGAGGAGGAGGCGCGACTTTCGACTTCGTCGTCGCTGCTACTTTCTTCCTCTTTGTTTCTCCGGATCTGGTCCCTTTCTCTAGGGTGGAAGGAGGTGTCGTTGGCGCGATGTCCTACTTGGTGACATTTGAAGCATCTTCCTTCTTTGAGATGTTTCTTCAACTCTGCGTCTGACAGACGGCTTATGCGATCGACTTCCATATCGTCGCTCCTTCTGGGAATATAATGCTTGTTCCCGAAGTTCTTCTTCTTCTGCTGGTTGGGTCTTTCCTTTCTTTTGATAGCTTTCAACCTTTGAAAAGCGTTATCGAGGTTGATGCAGGTGTTGACTACGGTGTCAAAGTCGTCGAGACTTTCACCGGTACGGTGCATGCTGTCTTGGAGCCCGTAATCTAGACCTTGTCTAAAGAATTCGATAAGGGGGGCTTGTTCGGTCATCCCTGCCCTGTGTGCGAGGAGTTTGTAGTTGGAGATGTAGGTATGGAGGTCTCCTCTCATTTCTAATCCTCGGATTTTCATCATGGCGGTTCCGGCGGGGTCCATGGGTTTAAAGGCTTCGTCGAAGTCCTTTTTGAAGGTGGCCCAAGTTCCATAACCAATTATTTGACCAGAGGTGTCTTTCCTCGTAGGGTCTAGGGCTGCTTCCATGAAGTCTTCTGCCCATATCGCCGTGTTTCCTTTTGTCATATAAGACAATACTAGGATGATCTTCTTTTTGTCCTCGTTGTATACTTGATCGTTGATATCAAGGTACGTGTGACATTTCATCATGAATCTCTTAGATTCTTCTCGGTCTCCATCGAATTCAGGAGGGGAGCCGATCTTGAGTTCTATATCTTTGGCTTTGGTCGTCATGGTGTTCAAAGGAGGGATATTTGGTAAGGCTCCTAGGTTCAAGGCTCCGATCAAGGGAGTTAACGAAGTCATGGTGTCGGTTTCGTTGCAGATGGCAACGGTTCAGTTGATAAGACTTTAATCTTTTGTTATGACTGGGATGAGTCGAGCTATCCTTGTCTGAGTAGACAATCGGTAAGATACCGGATAGACGTGAGTCTGCTCTTGAATGAGAGATCAAAGGTTCTGGCTAAGGCGAGTGTCGCTGACTCCCTTAGAATAGTAGTTCTTAGACAGTAAGGTTGGAGACCTTACTGAAGGACAATGTTCCAGGTAAAACCCAGTAGATTAAAGTAAAGAATACAACCGTAGGTAGCTAGGTTTATATACAAGTGTTCAAGCGGAGCTTGTAAATGTGTTATCAGAATAGAAGCGTGATAAGAGAAAGATAAGGCGGACAGCCCGCTTGGCGAAGATAGCGAAGATAAGAGATAAGCATGGTACGGACGGCCCGTTTCGTAAGTGAGATAAAAGAAATGAGTATAGGGGTTTAAATGTTACTGTAACAGAAGTCACGATAATTAAAATCACCGTCCTCCTCAGTCCAGGTATTTCTGGAGCTGATTCCAAATCGGACCTGGGAGATGTCAATGTGAGCTATGAGTGACAGCAGTGACGATGAACCTGTACACAGCCATAAGCAATGTGTGGAGGTTCCACAGTAGTCATAGCGTGCAAAGTAGTGTTAGATGGACGTGTCCCTTGTGATTGCGCACCATACGCAGTAGAAGGGCCTGTGAATATGTGTCTCATGGTCTAGAAATAATGTGAGAAGCGTGAAAAAGGGAAAGATAGCAATACCCACACGCTCAAGGACGAAGCCATCAAGAAAACCATCCATCATATTGTCCGGGTCATAGTTGACCCCGGGAAGATCACCATTCCAAAGAAAAGCCGGTAAGGTGTCTGCCTCCATGCGAATCTTGCCACCTTGCAGCCGTTCAATTGTACTGAAGTAAAGTTAGCAGCGCATTTACAAATTAATGAACCTTACGTTGTTGGGTCCTCATTGAAACTCTCGATCTCACCGATTGGGCAGAGAAAGCGGGCTAAGACTGGGTGATTCATACCCAAATGTGTGCGTCGACCACTGCCATCATGGAGAGGGGGAACCACAGCTTTGACTGCTGGATTTGGAGCCACATAGTCGCAAATCGGTATTTTCAAACGTGTTGAGTCATCTGAGCGAGTGCCTGAAATGGCAGATTCCATCTAAAACACAGGTTAGAAAGCACTGATGGTGCATATATGCGCATATACTCACCTTTTGGACGATCTTCCTGAGTTCCGAGGCTGTCTTCGGGTCCTTCGAGCCGGCTATGAGAGGCTTCAAGCCCGGTGCGAGCTCCAGTAAGCGCTTGTAGTTCTGTTGGTACCTGTCCCATGTTTTCTGAGAGCTATACAAGGGAAAAATAGTCTATCAGCGTCAGTAACATACTTTTTGGACATACAGTTTTGACAACCGCTTCTCTCGATGAGAAGCGTCATCTTCATCCTCGGATAAGTCACCGGAATTGGCAAGTTTGCACTGCTTCAGTAGCGTGCCGATGTTGATGACCTTGTCGATCTTGCAGAACATGTCGACACATTGGGTGATGCAGCACGCAGCTGCAAGATACTCCTCATGCAGATCTGATTTCGCCTCTTTCTTCTCCGGCCTATCAACAATGAGAAGTAAGGGCTCGAGATGAATAGGTAAGCACTTACTTTTGTTTCTCGTCATCAGACTTTGATGACCGTTGTTTCTTCTTGGTCGAACACTTGTGGGCAGGTTGAGAATCTTCTGAGTCGCTTGAGGAGGAGCTCAATGGTTTTGATGGGCTTGGAGAATGCTTGCGACGTGCCATGGTGGTTGAAGGTACTAAAGGATGATACAGGGTTAAGGGGAAGATCAGTAGGGAATGTCATTTGTGGCAAGTCATGTGATCGTGACTTGGTACAACAGTGATTATATGCGCAACAAGAAATACAACATTAATTCTACATCTACAACTTGAGTGATTCCGGAAAATGCCGACTGACTTTGAAAGTCACGTGACTTTTGAAATGGGAAGTCCGAACTTGTTTTGTACCATTGACTTATGCACTCATATCCTCATCGCCGTCATCACACATCCTCCTCATCCTCCTCATCCTCCTAACTGAACTCTTGGTGGCGCCTCTCCACATCCAGTTGTTGACAAACTATGACTATATACACCATATATGCACACAAACTCTGGTGAGTTTTTTACTTTATTTTTATTTGCACTTCACTTCCTGGTCCAACACGCTTCTAGGAAGCGACTTGGACCAGAGGCTGTCAGGCTGCGAGGACACACCTCTAGGAGGCAACTCTGAGCACTTAAGCCTGACAGCTTCTAACTTTTATTCCTACTACTTACTATGTGTACTGACCCCATCACAGAGCGTCCCATCTTCACCTGCCCTCACATCTTCACCTTACGATGTCAAGCAGCGTAGCCCCACACTCATTCTCACAGCCGGCATTGGTGTCATCGTTGCATTCCCTTTACATGTTGTCCCACATTGTTTTGCCTCCCACATTTATGGGGGAGCATACACGCCGGTCATCGACAAACTCTGCACGACATCAGACATTCTCACCCGCCCTCGCATTCTCACCCAACCTCATGTTCACCCGCCCTCGCATCTTTACTCGAGAACCTGCAGAGCAACGTTCTTAACCGCAATGTCAAGATACCAATACTATCGTCCGTGCTATTGGACCTGCTTTGATCCTTATTTACCCTCACATCACCACGACCATCTTGGCTGAGACGGCTGGTATCATTGACACTGGCACCACCCTCATCCTCCTTGCCAGCAGTACGTATCTCAAGTGCAGTCTCACAACCGCTGTCCTTCTCTCATCGAGGCACACCGCAATGACATTTGGCTCTATTCTGAACGGTCCTGATATGGGAGGACTATAGTGGCACGCCAATGGAGTCATGGAGGCAAGTCTGGCTTTTGGAGTGCGTTTTGGGAGGTATTTTCTTTTCCTGGGTCTGGGCTTAATGCTGGATCGCCCTGTTTGCATGTGACTTAGTGTATGGATTGCAAGATATATTAAATTTGCTTCACCCCGCATCATGCACCTCCAAGTGATTCTCTTACTGATCCACAGTGCAATAGAAATGGATATAATGTCTTGCACGTCTCTGATGACTCCCTCATCCACCTTCTGATGGACGACGACCTCACCTGTCTAGGCTGCGATAAGGCATTTTCGACTCAGAAACATCTGAGTAGTCACGAGGCTCAGTGTCCTAAACTGTGTGCATTGAAGACAAGAGTGAGCAAGCCGCAACGACACCTGAACAAGAAGAGAAGGATTCAAGATGACCAGATACATGACGACACTCAGATAATGACTGATGAACCGACAGATGTTAATATTAGAGATGACATGCCAGTTCACAACATGCAGGTAAGTCTCTGGCACTGTGTATTCAGGTCTTACTGACACGAATCTTCAAGGTTGACGACTACAACGTCGCTGGACCATCTGGTGCATCACCCCATCATTCTCCCCCCTTGCCAGAACCATTCCCTCCCAGCCCTGCTCCTGTTATACGTTCTGGTCGTTCTGGTCGCAGGATACGAATGCCAAATCGCTATGTTGACTACCTTCCGGGCTCTGCGACCCATCTTGAGCACATGCCTCAGGCTAGTGAGCCCATTGAAGAGCCCGAGGTTCTGCAATTCAACAATGATGATGTCCAGCAGCACCCGCCGCTCGTCCCATTCCAGACACCTCCTGATTCAATGGGGCTCTATCGCATCTATCCCACACCTCCCACCTTAATTCCCCAGGGTGGTGCTCTTGACAGCGTCTGTGACGTTCCCACCCTGGATGCTGCAGGCAATGCAGCCGAACAGACCTCGCAAAACTTAACTGGAGTTCCCTTACCACCGCCCAAAATCACGCGCGAAAATCTATATGATGCCTTCAGCAGCCCAACAGCAGGTCTTCTCATGTGTTGGCAGTACTCGGGCTCGACTACCAAGTCAGCTGCAGAAACACACCGTCTCACAACATTCCTTGACGATGACGAGTATAAAAGAGAGGACACACATATATTCAACATTCCACATGAGAAGAAGCTCATCGAAGATTACCTTATGGATACTTCAAATCCATTCCGTGCGGACAACGGCTGGCGGATGTCGTCAGTTAAAATACATCTGCCGAAGGAGAAGACTAAATGGCCCTCCGAAGTAGATGCACCCGAGCTCGAAATTGAGGGAGTGCACCATCGATCATTAACTAACATCATTACATCAGTTTTCGAAGACAGTGTTTCGTCGACCTTCCATATGACCCCCTTTCAGCAAATGTGGGAAACCTCTGATGGACGCAACATAGAAATATTTTCCAAGGCCTATTCGTCCGTTTCAATGCGAGAAGCTTACGCCGAGGTTAATTCACTTCCTCGCACAGCTGATGACAACCTTGAGTGTGTCGTCGCTTCACTAATGATGTGGTCTGATGCAACCCACCTTGCTAGTTTTGGTGACACGTCACTCTGGCCATTCTACCTTTTCTTTGGAAACCAATCGAAGTACACCCATGGCAAGCCGACTGCCTCTGCATGTCACCATGTAGCTTATATTCCGACTGTGCGTCATGTCCCATTAATCTTACTAGTGCGCTAATCAATCACACAGCTTCCAGACGATTTTCAAGATAAGTACAGGAAGGTCTTCAGTGATACCTCAACAGCGGATGTACATACCCATTGCAAGCACGAACTAATGCACGCTATATGGGAGCTTCTTCTTGACGAGGAGTTCATGCGTGCATATGAACACAGTATCGTCATTTGTTGCGGTGATGGAGTCACATGCAGGATCTTTCCGTGTTTTTTCAGCTATTCTGCTGATTATCCAGAGAAGTAGGTTGCTTATTTATTGTTTAACACTACCTCACATTTTCTACCAGGATTCTGCTCGCAAATATCAAGTTCATTGGCCAGTATCCTTGTCCTCGATGTCTTGTTCAGAAGGTCGATGTTCTGAAGATGGGAACAAAGTCAGACATGAAGCAGCGTGAGGCAACTGCACGTGTTGATGATGAAGCTCGCCATCAGAAAATTGAAAAAGCCCGAAAGCTCGTCTTTCGGAAGGGTGCAAGAATCGAAGGCAAGCATGTCAAAGATATTTTAGGTGAACAATCACTTGTTCCGACTCGAGTAAGTGTTTCCCTATCCCACATTGCATACTTAGCTCATATTACCCTCAGAATGCATTTTCAGAGCACCTTTTCCGGTTTCTATTCAACTTTTTCACACTCTTTGTCATGGACTTACTGCACGAGTTTGAACTCGGTGTCTGGAAAGCCATATTTGCCCATCTGATGAGGATCTTATTCACCACAGGAGGATCAGCAATCCAGAGTCTCAACTGGAGGTAAGTTCGAGTCCATACTTCAGCTGTTGACAGTACTAATCTACATCACAGGTACCGGAATGTACCCACGTTTGGAAGAGGAGCAATTCGATGTTTTCACAATAATGCATCAGCAATGAAGCGACTCGCTGCCCGCAACTTTGAAGACCTTCTACAGGTATGTTATCTGAGTCTGTCTTGTGCGGTTCTTAACATTTTCTTAGTGTGCAATACCTGTATTTGAAGGTCTGCTTCAAAAGGACAGTGGTGATGACAATGACGACGACGAAGGCAAATACTTCAACAAGATCATACTGGATCTGTTATTCGATTTGGCAACTTGGCATGCTTATGCAAAGCTCCGCTTGCACACTGACGACACACTATCGTTCTTTGACTCAGCAACTGTTGTGCTAGGCAAAACAGTTCGCAATTTCTCTTGTACAGTGTGCGCTCATTACCATACTACTGAACTCCTCCATGAACATGCAGCTCGTGGCCGACACCAGGCTGCACTCACTGCTAAGCACCCTCACCCTCAGACTGCTCAAGGAAGGTCTACCGGAGCAAAACGAAAGCTACTCAACCTTCAGACATACAAGTATCATGCCCTTGGTGATTATCCGAATACAATTTGGTGCATGGGAACCACAGACAGTTATAGCACCCAACCAGTGTTACAAGTAACATCGGTCACGTGGCCCCCCTATCATTTTCCCTTCATCCTCGCCCTCACCATCTACCGGCTTGTCCTCCTCTACCGGATATCCGTTGACCGGATCCTCGGGACCATTCCCATCCCTCGTCTCCACCCCATCATCCACCTTATCTCTGATAATGCACCAACATGCGCACGTACCTTGGCACTATGACTCGTCCAGACTCGTGCCACCAATGTGGCTTTCCCTTCTCGTCTCTCTTGACTCGCACCTGCCATGCATTGTAACTCTACCATTGGCCCTGTCCAATGTTCATCAGTCTCATTCCGCATTTGACCTCTCATCACTAATCAGGCTGTGTTGCCAACGTACCTATACCCTTTCTGTTTCCCCTTTACCCTTACCTACAGTACGGTAACCCAGCCCTCAACCCTTTCCACTTAGTATAAGTAGTCGGTCATCTTGTATTAGATTCCCTAACTTGAATCTACTCAATCTTCCCTCGAAACTACTTCCTTCAAGAGCCTCTCAGCTCTTGTCTCTAGTATGACTTTCTTAGGTGCTCGTTGCATCTAAGTCTACCTCAATTGATGGTCATCATTATGACAAGACTGTCCTTCCTTTGACTTCAGTGACTTCACAGACAGCCGTCTTAGAAGTCATGTGACACACGCGTCTGTGATATCTGCCAACTCAACGTCGCCAGTCTCACTCGCTACACCGGACCCTTCCGGTTACGTCACGAACGTTAGCGGACGACACCCCTCTTAGGGCTCCGCATAACAGATCTATTTGAGTGTGTAACAACCAGTGAGTATTTTTTTCGTCGAAACAAGTCTAACTAACACATTTGAACTTACCAGGGTGAACTGCAACACCGATGCTCAAAACGACGGTACCCACGGACCCCAAAGACTAAGAAGACAACAACTGCGAGCATTGCATCACAGGAAGCCCTCGAGCGCTTTTGTGAGAAGGTCATTGCTGCTCGTGAGCATTTTGCAAGTGAAAACCCGATCCAGTCACAGTATCGGCGTGAATGTACCTCACCATCTGACCATTACTACATTGCAAAACATTCAAGGGCAAGTCATGATCTCACATCTTGGCTAGGTGAACTAGGAGATGATCCTGCAGCCGAGGTACTAAGTCATTCCTGCTTGATATCACTGCAACTCCCTCATATTTTGTTTAGAATTTTATACCTCGACTCAAGGACCATTTACTCGCCCGTCTTCGTAATATTGCATACGATGGTGATGAACACGACTTCTCCGATGAAGATCGCCGCTCAGTCCTAATTACGGACAACAAGATGTTCAAACACAACATTCTACGCATCAACTATACTACATACGACCTGCGACGTGAGCAAGATACCATCAATCCTCGTACCCGTGCCGATATCATGGTGCTCGCTCATGAATAGGGATGGACGGGGGTAAACCCCAGGGTACCATGAGCCTAACCCACACCCCTACCCCTGGAGGGTCTTACCCCTCAGCCAAGGGTCAGGGGTAACCCAGGGGTATTATAAGGGTACAAAGGTATCACAAGGGGTACAGGGGTATTATCACCATCAAGGCTAGAAGACATAGTAGGCTGACTTTATTTTACTTATATCTTACTCAAATAATAGCTAACTCACAATATAAGATCACAATAAGCCCAATAGCCATTATACTGTAACACTGTTGACAACTTCAAAATTTTATACTTATCAATCACTCCTATGGTAATCAATTTGGGGATATATTATGCCTAGGCCCAGGGGTACTACCAATTGTCCAGGGGTACAGGGGTCCTGAGATCCCTACCCACACCCCTACCCCTTGGTACCCCTACCCCTGACCCTCAGGGGTCACCCATACCCCTGTCCATCCCTACTCATGAAGATGAACGCACGCACCCATATTGGTATGCACGTGTTGTTCAGATTTTCCACGTGAATGTGGAGTATCGCGAGCATTCTGCAGCATTACGAACTCCCCCGACTCGTCTCGATGTCCTGTTTGTTCATTGGTTCCGTCGTGACAGCTCACCTGCAGGCTGGGCTGCAAAATGTTTGCAGCGCCTCGAATTTTTCGATCACAATAGCCTTCCTGATGCATTCGGATTCTTGGACCCTGACTCAGTTATTCGTGGTGTTCATTTAATTCCTGCATTTGATTTTGGTACTACTGACGAGTTACTGGGGCCAACATTTGCACAGCGGAAGGGTGACTCATGTGGGGATGACTCAGACTGGTGCTTTTATTACTTAAACGTGTAGGTGCTTTGAAACTCACAATTGGACTGTTATCTAACTTTACATATGTACAGGTTTGTAGATAGGGACATGTTCATGCGGTTTCGTGGTGGCGGAATAGGCCACAAGGCCACACACGATTGGGACGAATTTCTCCAGCTTGAGGGACACGGACATGACGAAGCTGGAAGCGATGATTCAGACTTGGAAGAAGATATGGAAGACGACTCAGATTTGGAGGTCGATAATATTAGGCTTGAGGAGGGACAAGATGGCAAACGTGACGAGGAGGACAAAGAGGAGGAAGCGGACAATGACAAGGACAAGGACAGAGTAATTGCTGATGATGGTGAGGAGCTTGATGGCGATGTACTTGCAGTGGAAGGTTATGGGGCACTATGATCACAAGTAGCACTGAATGTATTGCATATAATCTACTACAATACATCTTATTATCTAGCGGATGTCTGACAAGTACACTACAGATAGAGTGGTATCTATCTGACAGCGAGTTGGACAGACGGATGTCTGACAAGTACACTACAGATAGGGTGGTATCTGTCTGACAGCGAGTTTGACAGACGGATGTCGTGCTGACACGTCAACAACGCTGGTGTATCTTATAATAGCTCACGCGTATCACACACGTGTGAAAATTTGCCACATATCACGTGGTATCTGATTTCGGCAATTTTGGTGATGATGTACCAAATATAACTCTTTGGTGACCCGGGTAGATTCACAGAATTCCTTTATACTCCTCTCATGCTGTTCTATCGCATAACCCAATGATCAGCACTAGCTCGCTTGAGCCGGCTACCATCACTTCAAATTTTCGACTGCCCACGCTCAGTATGGTATCGGCCCGAGTGACGAGTCGCAGTAATTATATAAACGACTACCACCGCCGACAAGCTGAACTGGAAACAGGCCGTCTGGGTTCATCAGCGGGTTGGATTGTGCTACGGAGTGCTACAGAGCGCTCTGTAGCACTCTGTAGTGAATTACGATTACCTGATGTTGATCTTCTAGGTTCTTTGCCACTCAGTGACGCGTTCAACTTACTGCGGTGCATTCCATATCTCTTCTTCAAGTTTGTCTTTCCTCTAGCGCTCCTCACAGTACCCGGCACCGACCACTTCCTGTGCGATGAATGAACTCTAAAGCATGCGTGTTTGATACTATCATGAACACCGGTCTGCTTACCCTTATGAGACTATATGGTGATTATCGACTAAGGTCAGCGAGGCACTAGATATCGGGTAAACGCGAGAACACGGAAAGGAGCGGGTAGCGCAGTGCTCGGCCGATAGCGACATATGTCGAGTAGGCTGCGCATCCTACAGGTAAGTTAGTTTGTCACATTATTAATATTGTCTCCCCGATACACGGAGAAAATTGCTGATAGGACGTTTAATCGGTTTTGGGCACCGTAAGTCCAAGCATGGGAATGGGTGCTCGTCATTATTGTCCTTGTCTTCCTCAACTGATTCACGTTAGAGCTTACGGTGCGTAATTGTTGAGTATGTGTGCTAACGCTGAACTGCAACAGGACAGTCTGAGCACTACTTTACTCTCGTCAAGGTCCTTCTGATCATCGTTTTCATCTTTCCGGATTCATCTACGACTGGGGCGGAGTAAAAGCTGGACCCGTTTATTGTTTCGGCGGTGTTAACTTACTGGAGGCAGTTGCTGCGGGAGAGTCTGTTCGACCGCATTAAACTATCCCTCGGGTTATCAAGGCTACTTTCCTCCGGATAGTCTTTTTCTAAATTTTGACCATCCCAACAACCGCACTTGGCATTAGCTACTATCAGACTCAGATGACAGCATCTCCACTGACTGTGGTGTTTGAGTGTACTGGGTTGTAGATATGGCTAGGACCGGGACTCAGACTCAAGTCTTTGCTGAAAACAGAACCGAATGTCATTATGAAATTGCTATCAACAACTTGAATATCGCGGCGTTCTAAGTTATAGTCAGGAGCTGGATGTGGGTAGCACTGTATCGTGACGGAATAAATATAACATGTGTTACGACTGCAAGGACACGAGAAAATGTGGTGTTCGAGATCAACTCGTTTGTATCACTAGCAGGAACAGCTAACTCTGTCTCTCGTGCTCTGCCTTTATATAGTACAGAACTTCATCAACCGAAGGCCGCATCCCGATCTGCGTCGACCAACATTGTTCAATATAGCACCAGTGATCATCGGCAATTGCAGGCGATGCAGGTCGTGTTGGCAGAATGCCTTTAGATTTGGCCACAATGACAAGAGGCTCTTTCTCCATATCAAAGTACGGGGGGCGGCCAGATAGCACCTAATAAAATATTTGGAATCATTCATTCGCTGAAGATAAGAGGGGGTTTCGGCGTTACCTGCATCATGATGCAACCAAATGAATAGACGTCACTCGCTTTATTCGGCTTGCTAACACATTCGTCGGGCTTTTCGGTATCAAGTGGTATAATTTCTGGAGCAGCCCAACGAGTTGCGCCTGAGCTGTGAGATGCGAAGAAAGATGTCTCATGATCCGCGAGTAGGCACGACAGACCAAAATCCGCAAGTAGAGCATCCCCGTTCTCATCGATCAGAACATTAGGCTGAAATTTTATGAGCAACGCGGACTGACTGGTGAAAAAATTGTGACATACAGGCATAAGGTCTCCGTGTACAATATCTTTAGAATGCACTGATTTATCGTGCATCGTCAAAATGAGGTCACATAGCAACTAAATTCACTCACGATACTGCAGGCCTAATACGATTTGGAGGAGCTGTATTTCAACTGATCTGAGGGTGCGTTTATAGACATAGATAAGAAATACTCACAAGAAGAAAGAGACGACGCATTTCAGGTGGCGACTGCTCACGCCGCATTGTACCCAAGTATTGATGGAGAGAACCGTTTTTCATCCATGGACACACCAGCGCTGGGATAATTTCATATTTTTCCGTAGTGCCATACAAAGGCACTATGTGCGAATGTTCCAGCTGTCTCCAGACAAAGACTTCCTGACGTAATTTCTGTATAGAAAGTGATGTTAAATGCCACATACATCGACTACACGAGAGCTAACCTTGATCAATTTATTTAGGTCTTCTGGTTTCCTTGACGGCACTCTGAAAGCCTTGACTGCGACTTTTTGTGGGAGTATCTATTAGGATTGAGCCAATCTGTTGGGAGGAAATCAATTAATAAACGAACTTTGGTACCGTTTCGGAGGAAGGAACTTGTTAATTTGCATTTCCAGACGTTGCCGAATCCGCCAAAATTGCGGGGGAAATCATCGATGCGTGAAATATAAGCCGTAAGATCCTCAGGTTCATCGTGGTATTTTTTGAAGTCAACATATCTGGAAATGTCATAGCTCAAAGCACTGTCTGTTGTGAAAAGAAGTATACATACGGTTTTAGGAAAGTTTGCGTCAGTGGTGAACGAAGATCCCCCTCGTGGTGAGGGTCATCATATGCAACCAGGGGTCCAAGGTCCTCGAAACTGGAAAATGATCCAGAAGGCGAGACAATACAGGGCGATTCAGAGTCAGTGCTACTCGTTGTAAGACTTGGGACAATTTTTGATTCATCAGAATCATTGCCCTATTGGTACACAGAATTCGGTCAATGTCTTCTGGGCGCCCATTGATAGCTAAGTACTTACTGAAGTGGCACTCCCGCTGGTGAAGCGTGAGATAGTCTGCGAGCAAATAATGCGCAGTTTCTTCCAGTCAGTTCCTAATCATTCGTCATCAGCATTGATCCATCAGGTAGAACACTACTTACCATTTGATTTTGAATTCTCCGCAACCGGATGTGACATGATGCTGGGGCAGCAACGAAGAGAAGACTGGATAAATCTTTCGAGAATAGGAGGAGTTACAGCAAGTGGAGAGCGAACTCACATTTATTGGACTGGAAGCATCCTTGCAAGTTTCACAGAAGTAAACAACTTGCCATCACATATCAGCATGAGCACTCATTTGCGAGTCTTCTGACCTGCCAGACCCTGCGTTCTTGGCCATGATTTCTCCAAAACATCAGGTGGATGATCACCATATTCACGGCGGCTGAGCCCAGATTAATGAATTCACCGTGGCAGGTAACCGTAGGTTTGAGGTAGGTGACAGACCCTTGTAATATGATCAAAGTGCTTTAACCGCAATCACGTGTTGACGCGAGCACTCACAACGCTGTTGACTCGATAAGAAGGGTGATGGTTTCTCATATAACAAGAACAGCTCAGACGAACCTTTCGGGAGTACAACTCGGTGCTGTGTATCGGCCGACCAGTGCTTCTCCGCGAACAACGGTAGCGTAGTACCTACTGGATGTGAATACTTGTCATGTACGCAGCAAACAGGCTTGAATGCCCTTCTATGCTGTGAAGTCCAAGTCAGTGCTCGCGAATTTAAGTCTGGTAGTTGTGACATACCCTCAGGCTGGCCATACTAGTACACAATAGCCTATCGTTCAAGATATTCGGATGTTCGCGGGACAAGTGCTGGTAGCCGCTGAATTTTACTCTGCAGATTGAGTTTCGTGTACCCTTCGATTATTCCTGCCACTGATCACCGCAGGTTCTAAGAATGGCATTCGAAATCGAATACTCCGATAGAGCGGATAGTAGTACTAGCAAGGCATCATGATTGCTGGCGGCTTCTTTTCAAAGTCCGCACCTCGCGGCGGTGAACGTGTACTTCGGCATTTTCGCAGGTGACCGATGACCGATTAACCCCATGTCAGCCTCGATGTGAGTTGCACAGCTTGTCGATGGTGGTTGGCTCGGGTGAGTCTTTTAATGCCGTCATGAATACTGATCATAGACCTCGAGGCCCGAGCTTTCCGCGCAAGAATTACCACATGAACTTTAGAACAAAGTTTTCCATACATACCAATGCCCGAATCGATTGGCCACCAATTGAGCCAATTTAAAACGTCAGTGGATCACCTAACGCCCACTGCCCTGGGAATTCTACAAGCTGTATGAGGTGTGATAGTATGGATGTACTTGCCATCAAACTGCCTCGTCTATCGCAGCCGGGCTGGCTTTTGGGGATGGTAAAAAGTTTTACAGGCCATACTTAGCATGGTTCGCACAGGTGGGTCTTCGGCTTGATGCATGTCACGATGGTTCGAAGAACTGTGACTTTGTGAACTAGGAAACATAATTAAAACAGCATTCGTATTGCATTTATAGCATGCCGTCGAAGGTATGAATATCGCCTGCATTCAGCGTCTAGCATCCACATCTCGTGCTTACCTCAATAACCAGAGGTCATGTCCAACAAAACGCTGGACCACGCCCCTCAACAGGGCTCTGGCGTATCTGACCTGCTTTCATATTTCGGGCTAGTGGTGAAGTTACCTTTGACGTTCATTCGATGGTCATACCGAGAAATGGCACCCAAAACTCTCCATTCGTTTGCTGAAGGCTTGTGCCCAAATCCGCAAGGCGCCGTTCCGAATCCAATCATCTCAGACTCTTGGACCGTGCTGAGAAAAGGTCATAATATTGATATTCCTGAGTACACACGTTGCTTCTCTCAGTGTTTATTGGCTGAATTCTAGAATAGCTTGATGAATCCATCATCAGATTCTTCCAGGTGGACACCAACCACTCCAGCCAATTCGCAGGGGCATCCTGCGGGAGAGTCTCAGTGCGGCTCTGCCCTCGATCTCACCAGGCAAATTGTTCGGCGCGAAATATACCCAACTCTGTCGGGTACGTACAGTGACGTTTGGCGATCAACGTGGTGCCATGACAAGCAAAAGCGTGATGTGAGTGAATTTTACATATTAGAATCCTCAAAATCCAAATTGAACCTTGTTAAGGTTGCGGTCAAGTCAGTGAAAATTCCATTTTTGAATGAGGATGAGAAAAGTAATAATCGTCAAGTTCGCTCTTTCGTTTGTGTGCAAGAAAACCCGCTTACGCATGACTTAGAAACTAATGGTTAAAGTATCATCTTGGGCGCATTTACTTCACAGGAACGTTTTGCCACTATATGGAATTGCGCACGGTTTTGGGCACTTTCCGTCACTGGTGACGCCTTGGGTGAACGAGGGGTCGTTGAATGACTTTATCGCTGATCATCATTTGTCACTGGGAGGCAAGTTGGATCTCGTAAGACTTTAACCATTTCGGTGGAAGTGTGTGTTTCTTACTCTTGCACTCGCGTGGCCTAGGCCAAACAGGTAGTAGCTGGCCTTGGCTATCGTAAGTTTTCTTGCATTCGTCATTGCAATGATTTTCGTTGATTTCAAATGTAGTACACGCTCATTCTATTGTACACGGAGATATCTCTGGAGTAAGATCACTGTCCCTGGAAGTATGGTTCGCTAATACTTGTCTAGTTCAATATCCTGGTGGACCATGAGGGTAGAGCACAGTTATGCGACTTCGGAGTCATGTCGTTGCTCGCAGAAATCCCATCTTTGGCACAGCCATCTGGAGGTATCCGCTCTGCAGTACGATGGACCGATCCTCAGTTATTCGATGTCCAAAAAGGCGTAATCAATCCATGCATCCCAACGGAGCAGACTGATATCTATTCAATAGGCAGTGTTCTCCTGCAGGTATGATACATCATGCCCTCGTGGCATCACCCGCTTACCATATTGCGACCCTAGTTGCTCACAGGATCAATACCTTACTACGATATCAAGGATAACATCCGTGTCCTTATATTATCTTCGAGAGGCGTAAAACCCAAATGTCCTCCAGAAACGAACGTCACTAGTGCACAGTGGAGTTGTATTCAAAGATGTTGGTCTCCTTGCGGACTTGCCAGTCGTCCAACTATCGAGGAAATAGATGAGTTTCTCGAGTCTGAGCTACGGATGGCAGGTATGCATTAGCGCACTTGAATTCCAGTACGTACATCCACACGTTTCATAACGCACTCCCAGACAGAATATTTCATGCAGACTGTATTTTGCTGTACTGCTAGCTTTTTTCGGTGTTTATCTTACCAGTGGTCGTCCTACGTGCCTGATTGTGACCGCGGAACCTTACATCCCTGTTCCATTTGATCTTTTGGTTGTTGGTTGTGTGCGAATGAAATCGCCTGCGATTGAATGGAATAGCCACGAGATTGATAATAGTCCGTGGGCCCCGCTTATGGTACGAGGATACAACCGTGCAACGATGTTTCATGAATTAATAGATTTTATATTGTCCAGCAGGCATCACGGCTCATAAACGCCGACTCAGGGGGCGCTTGTATGCGAGTAGCCATCCAGAATACGTCACGCACCTACTGCAGCTCAGACGATCACTCCACGTTCAAAGGTAGGGGTTCTGCGCATCGTAGAGGCCATTCAAGTTGCCTTACAAATGAAAAATCAAAATCAATTGACGTCTTTAGCATTGTGTTTCTCCCAGAGAGGGAAGTGAAGGTGTCGACGGAAGGAGTAGGGCTTGTATCATATCAAATCAGCATGACGCGATCCGGACGCAAGCGCAAGCTAACACAACTTTATCGGTTATTTGTAAGTACTACGTACTCTACGGGAAAGCAACATGTAGATCGAGCTGCGGTGAAAATATCAAAGGAAATTGTGGCTGTGACAGGAAGGGAGAGCACAAAGGGGCAGGCATTTAAGCGCGGAGAAGAAGAATCCAAGATCAAACAGTATGTTCAAGATATCGACATATACATAAAAAACATGCCAAGGGTCGTATGCATACCAGGAAACCTTAGGCAGGCCAAGGTTTGTATGCATACACAGAAGCATCGCAGGTATGCATAGCTACTTTTCTATGATACTAGCCAGGGTACCGGGTTGTGTCGAAGCTTAATTGCTGCCAGGGCGCCGTGTGGCGCTTCAGACGCGCATTTTCAGAAGGTGGGCGGGTAGGGGCCAGTCTAGGGAGGGTCTTGCCTGGGCCTCGAGGTGTTCATATACTTTGCATGTACTTATACTACCTAGCGCATGTAGTGTAGTAGCACCTAACGCAAAATACTACCTCTATTGCCTTCGGTAGGATTTCAGTTCCTGTTCCAATGTCTACCCCGAAATTTAAATGCAGACAACCATCCATATTTTCCTTTCTATCCGCCAAGCAGAGGCGTGCCACTGCTCTAACCAAAATTCGTACACTTGTCTTTGTTACAGCTGGTAACACCGGTCCTTCCCCCGTTGAATGGGATATCACAACTGCAGAGCTCTCCAACCTCCTGCAAACGCGTAATTTCGAGGGTCACACGGCGCTATATTGGGCTATTGTGAATCACGCGCCATTTGTTAAATTCATTGACCGATTCAAATTTTCGCCCGAATGCTCTTCCGACCTACGTCTTGCATGCATGCGAACTAGCAACCATGCATTATTCTCAGACCTGAAGTTGCAAAATACCAATGGTAAGTTCCTCTTAATACCCACCCGAGAGCGTTTGCATTGATGTATGACAACTCATCAGCCAAGAACGAGTCTTTAAGACTGTCTCTGGGCTGTCAACCAGATAAGGTTACGGTGGATGATGGGGGAGACAACTACCAGTTCGTTGCTTCCTTCATCATCGAGAAGTTCCAGAAACGCCTGCGCACTACTCAAGAATTAAATTATGAGTTTGTTGCACGTGGTATAGGTTAATGTCTTTCGGGTTGTTCCTTACGCTCATACAATCATGCCCTGCAGGACGTATATGGCGATTCTCCTTTAATGTGGGGCCTAAGGAGAAATGGGTCGCTAGCTGTGGTCTCTCTTTGCCCAGTCTTTCAGCTTATGCACGTTCTTCACTCCGGCTAGAAACTCATACAAAGACAGGGGAACCTGGCCGTGAAACACCCAGAAAGGTACACGAGGATACAAAATCCATGGAAATGCGAGCGGCGAAGGGGTAAGTTTAAATCTGCCTTGACACATTCAAAGTTGAGGTACTGACGAATTTATGATTTGTATGCGACTATTTTTTGTTTCCCTGTTGGCTATGCAGAAAGATGGGCAATGTAGATGGAAAAGTCAAGCCTACCGTCTATTGGGACTCGGAGTTGAGCGATCAGTGGGTAATATACGAGTAAGTCTTTTGCTTCCTCAACCTTATCTTGTAATGGTGATTGCTGCGAGCAACATATATTGCCCCTCTTCTCCTCTGACGATTTCAACTGACTGTGTTGTTGTAGCAATCCCAATGATCTGGCCTGCGATGACACCCTACATGCAACGCTGAAGATCGCACTCGAAAATCCTCCGCCCGTTATGACAGGTTCGCCTTAGCGCATTTGAATTCCAGTACGTACATCTGCACGTTCATAACACACTCACAGACTGAACATTTCATACAGGTTGTGTTTTGCTGTACCGCTAGCTTCATTCGGTATTTTGTGTTGCTCCATGTCTTGTCTTACTGGTTGTCGTCCTACATACTTGATTGTGACCGGAACATTGTATCCCTGTTCTATTTGATCTTTTGGTTCTGTGTGAACGAAATCACCTGCGGTTCAACGGAATACCAGTGAGTGTCACGAGATTTATAATAGCTCGCGGGCCCTGCCTATGGTGCGAGGATAAATGTGCAAAAAAATTTCATGGATTAATACATTTAACATTGTCCAGCAGGCATCACGGCTAGTAAACACCGACTAGGAAAGTGTTTGCATGCGAGCAGCCATCCAAAATACGTCATGCCGCACCTACAGCGGTTAAGACGATGAACCCTGGGCCCGAGGCGAAAACTGAGTGACGAGGGGAGGGGGGATATCATATCAAATCAGCATCACGCCATCCAGACGCAAGCGCAAGAATCAACGCGACTATACTTATTTCCCTTATCTCGTACACTTCTCCACAAGACAGCTCGTAGAGCACCGCGGCTTAACCTTATAACAGTTCCGCGGTATATGGTGAGCTGCTTAGTCAGCGCCAAGTTGCCCAGCTGCTTAGCCAAATATAACTCTTTCACCCAAACCACAGAATTACTTTTTGCTTTTCTCATGCTGTTCTATCGCGTAACCCAATGATGAGCGCCGAACGTTAGTTCGCTTGAGCCGGCTACAGCTGGCATCACGATTTTTGACTGCCCATGCTCAGAAGTACTCCGGGATGGTGTCGGCCCGAGTTGCAGTAATTATATCAACAACTACCACCGCCGACAAGCTGAACTGGAAGCAGGCCGTCTGCTGTGTTGATCTTCTAGGTTCTTTGCCGCTCAATGACGCGTTCAACTTACTGCGGTGCATTCCACATCTCTTCTCAAGTTTGTCTTCCGTGGAGAAGCCTCTAGCGCTCCTCACAGCACCCGGCACCGACCACTCAGTCCTGTGTAATGAATGCACTCTAAAGCACGTGCGTTTGATACTATCATGGACATCAACTTGAACAGTCTGCTTATTCTTATGAGACTGTATGGAATGGCTATCGACTAAGGCCAACGAGGCACTAGATATCGGATAACCGCGAGAACGGGAAGAAAATGGGAAGAAGCGAGTAGCGAAGTACTCAGCCGATGGTGACATATGTCGAATAGGCTACGATCATCCTACAGGTGAGTCAGTTTGTCACATTATTAATATTGTGTCCCCGATACACGGAGAAAATTGCTGATAGGACGTTTAATCGGGTTTGGGCACCGTAAGTCCAAGCCTGGGAATGGACGTTCGTCATCATTGTCCCCGTTTTCTTACTTCAACTGATTCACGTTCGAGCTTACGGTGCGTAATCGTTGAGTATGTGTGCTAACGTTGGACTACAACAGGACAGTCTGAGTACTAGTCTGCTCTCGTTAAGGTTAAGGTCCTTCGATCATAGCTTTCATCTTTGCCAGGCTCATCTACGACTGGGGCGGAGTAAAATGTCATCCTAGACCCGTAAGCAATGCATAGTGTTCGTCAGCAGTACAGGAAGGGGCTGTCGAATTCTCAGAATGGTCAAGCTTTCATCGGTGGCTTTCAAATTTTCAGCCAGACTTTCATCAACGCCTTTTACTCTTTCGGCGGTGTTGAACTGGTGGCGGTTGCCGCGGGAGAGTCCGTTCGACCGCATCAAACTATCCCTCGGGCTATCAGGGCTCCTTTCATCCGGATAGTCCTTTGACCATCCTAACAATTGGACTCAGTAGGAGCGGAATTGACTGCTCATCTCTTCGACCTACTATCAGACTCGGATGTGACAGTATCTACACTGACTGGTGTTCCAGCGTGCTAGGTTTGGCACCACTGCACACGTCGTGAATGCCATCCTCTTGACAGCGGTTCTGGTCAGGCCTCTCGCGTCTTTGTGGATAAGCAGTCGAGGCATTTTTGTGCCTGCGCTCGTGTGAGTCCGTGCTATCGCCTTATGCTCATAGAATGCAACACTGACAATACAGTTTTTGATGTAGCATGGCGTATCATTTGCGACGTTCATCTCATCGAGACAGAAATGGCCTACATTGAAAAATGTATGGTGCAATCAGAGAGGCACGGACGGTGGTACTTCATACCCAAAAAACAATGAGGTAGATATGTGTAGATGCAGATGTCTAAGTACAGGTAGATACAAATCTTAGAAATTCAAGATGGCAAGATTTCGTAACACAAAGAATCTTCGTAACGATCAAAAAATAAGACTTCGATTGCATAGTCACAAAGCAACGCTATTGACCGTGCGAATGTAAAGATTCACTCTGTAGTCCCAAATGCATCATAAATGATGTATCCTGGTCAATCGTCGCCATTCCATGAGCCAATAAGTGCCATAACGAGCTATTTTTCGAGTGTCACCTCTAGCTTTGCATGTAGGATGTTACCGCCGTCTACATCTGTGGGATTGCTACGACAAAACAGTCAGTTGAATTCGTCAAAGGAGAACAGTAGCAATATGTCGCTCGCCACAATCACGATTCCAAGACAAGGATCGAGTTGAGGCAGCAAAGGACTTACACCAACTGATCGCCTAACTTCCAATTGCTCCAAACGGACTTTTCGCCGTCTACATCGCCGATGTATCTGCATAGCCAATGGGGGAGGAAAGGATCGCATAGGAATCATAGATAAATCAGTACCTCAGCTTCGGATGTGTCAAGGCAGATTTAAACTTACCCCATCGGTATGTGTGTTTCGAGTTCACCTTTCCTGCTCGCACCCTCAAACACCCTTTTAGGCGGCGTTTCACGGCCAGATTCCCCTTTCGTTGTACGAGTTTCTAACAGAAGTGAATAACATTCTAGAGAAACTGGAAGACTAGGCGAAGAGAGGCCAAAGCCAACGATCCATTTCCCCTTATTCCCCATTTCAAAGCGGAACGACCATATACGTCCTGCAGCATATGGCATAATTATGAGCGTAAGGAACAGCCTGGAAGATAAGATATACCTCGCGCAACAAAATCATAATTCAACCTTCGTGTAGTGCACAGACGTTTCTGGAACATCCTGATACGGAAGGAAACAACAAACTGGTTGTCGTCCAGTTCTGCCACATTATGCACCTCAATCTCATCTTGTGGACAGCCAAGAAATTGTCTTAAAGACTCGTCTTGGGCTAATCAATACGTCATACATCAATGCAAACGCTCTCGGATGGGCATTAAGGACTCACCATCAGTATTCTGAAAATTCAGTTTGCAGAATAATGCATGGTTGCTAGTTCGCATGCATGCAAGACGTAGGTCGGAAGAACATTTGGACGAAAATTTGGAGATGAATAACTTGAACGTCCAGAATACCTCTTGCCGGTGATTCACAATTGCCCAATATAGCGCCGTGTGACCCTCGATATTGGGTGTTTGCAGAAGGTCGGAGAGCTCTGCAGCTGTGAGATCATGAGCACATGCATCGGCAATCGATTCAATGGAGGAAGGGGAGACATCTGTAGGGGAGACAAGATCACGAATGCGAGATAGAACGGTGGCACGTCTCTCCCTGACTGATAGAAAGGAGAATATGGATGGTTGTCTTCATTTGACTCGGATGTTAGAAATTGTGTCGTACGATGGAGGCGAGCTAGCAATGGACTTGCTATCATCGATGACTTCGGATTTTGTAGCCATGATGGCGGGGTGAGTGATGCGAAAGGGGTCTTTCGTTGAGGTGATACAATAGAATAGGGCGTTGTGCCAAGCATCCTACGCGATCCCATAGGGTAAGCAGACTGTTGGTTGTCCATGATAGTATGCGCGTGCTTCAGAGTATATTCATTGCACAAGACTGAGCGGTTCGTGTCGAGTACTGTGAAGAGCGCTAGAGACCTCCCGACGATAGACAAACTTGAAGGAGAAAGATTAAATGCATCATAGCAAGTTGTCACGGTGCGACAAACGGGATCAACCCAGACGGCTTGCTTCTAGTAGGTAGCAAAAAAATCCCTGAATTTAGGCAAGAGTGAATGCAAGTATTAGTAAGCGCTAGTCTACGCTGTTTCGGTTCAATCACAGTCGGAGTGTGAAAACTCTGTGTCGTTGGAATCCGAATTCAAGACGCCTACTTACTACGACTCGGAAAAATCATCCACTAATTTATCAGAATACTATACTACTTGACGATATCATTCGTCTATATCGAACCCAAAATACGCGAAAGTTACGGCGCTGTCTTACTTCTGTTCTACCAATTTTCTAGGAATCTTGAAACTTGTACATCACCGCATGCCAGCAGTGCACCTGAACTTCTTCGTCTCTCTGTATCTTTGATTGTCAAAGTCGCAGAGACAGCTGACGACTATGTAACAGATTCGATCACAATTAGCCAGTATTGTGCCTTCTCTGAATCACTCCGTCAAGTCTGCGTTGTTGGCACATTCATGACTACCATGGGCACGGGGCACCATGGAACGTATACTGTCACTTGTTACGTTCTGAAACCGTACTCACAAAACACATCCTTGGCAGACTCGTCAAAGTGATTATGAAACATGCCCTTCTCCAACGCTTTTAACGCATGTGCATCTTCGTATCGTAATGATAGAGCACCCCTAACGTGATTTGCGAACTCATCTTTTCTTCTTGCAACTTCAGCTAAACGAAGTTACTCACCTTCGAGTTCGAACCTTACGAGAATGCATGACAGATCCTAACGTTGAACTTTTTCATCGAGTACCGTCTTCAACAAGACCTGGAAGTTCCGCAACTTGAAGTTCGTGCTATGCCTATTCATGACCTCACTCAACTTTATAACGCAGTGCTAGGGATGCCTTACGAACCCATGATGAGGCGCGACAATCCTTCATGCCGCTGCAGTCTACTTGCTGGTTCGCTGTCATGATATCTAATTAGGACCTAGTTGAAGCAATTGTTACAGCAAGAGAAGGAACTCGAAGTTCATACAAACCATTGGACACCTAATCGAAATTATAGCAGAAGAAAGCCTTCTGACTGCTCGGAACCATGATTACCGCCTCAATATTCCGATCTAGGCTCTTATGACACGTCCGTATGTGATTGAAGGTATAAAAACTTCGCGACTCTCTGACATCTGGTAATCATTCCTCTCGATCACAGTCATGCAGCTCTCACTTGTTTTCAAGACGCTCCTTTCCTTTATCGCCATTGCAGCAGCATATCCCACACCATCGGTGATGAAACTTTCTTGTGAGGAATTATACGTTACTCTAGTTGATGGGTGTGCAGCTGATATACAATGCAGCTATGGCTAAGCGTTCGGGGGGGCTTGGCTCTAACCTCGTTGGTTATTTGGACACTAGGTTCCCCAACGACCTTAGTCAACCTAGCGTACCCAGCGGACCTCTCAATAGTGACGTCAACTACGTGAATACTCGGGCCCCCAACGACCTCAGTCAACCTAGCGGACCCAGCGGACCCCTCAATAGTGACGTCAACTACGTGAATACTCGGGCCCCCAACGACCTTAGTCAACCTAGCGGACCCAGCGGACCCCTCAATAGTGACGTCAACTACTTGAACACTCGGGCCCCCGACAATAGTCACTCCAGCAATCCTTCCACCACTCCTTCCACCACTCCTTCCACCATTCCCTCCACCAGTTCTAACGACAAAAGTCACTCCAGCAACTCTGCTAATAGCGACGCTGAATACTTAAACACTCGGGCTCCCGGTGACGATGATAGTCACTCCAGCAATTCTGCCAATGATGACGCTAAGCACTTGAGCGTCCGGGTCCCGGACGATAACACTAGTCATTCTAGCAACTCTGCCAGTGATGACGCCAAGTACTTGAGCGTTCGGAACCCCGACGATACCACTAGTCATGACAGCAATTCTGCCAACGACAACGCTGAGTACTTGAGCGTCCGGGCCCCCGACGTCAGTAACGTCAGCAGTACTTCTAATACTGCTAACTCTTCCAATGGCAATGGCGATCAGAGCGATGGCGATGAAGATTAAATCGTGAATCGCGAGGAGTAAACGTGTATCCAAGAGAGGTACTGTCTGCCTTTTTTTTCTATTACTGTTCCAATAGTGACTCATTCAGGACAAAAGAGGGCTCATGACTCCCGAGGAATGATACAACGTGGTCGACATCACGATCCGTCTGTCCTATATATATATTATATCCACAATACCCGTTTCTGCTCACCTCATTCTACCTCTCGACCTGTTCTAATAGACCTCCCAGTACGATACCATTTCCACTCGGTCTTTCAAACTAAGACTGAGTGAGCATACTTACTACCACGTCTGTATATACCTACCCGACAATACGGGGTCCCCTTTTTTCTGCTTATAGCGGTTGAAATAGTCTAGCCTGTCCAGATGTTAGACGACGTGCATTACTCTTTGCATTGGTTGTATGTTAATATGATGAGCGTCACGCATATGGTAGTTGAGCGGGTACAGCAGCACGTCGAGCTCGCACGGACGTATAGCAATTCGGTACTGATCAATATACTAAGTAGTAGTACAAGGTTACTGAGACAGCGAAAGGACGTATAGCAATTCGGTACTGATCGATATATAGTAGTACATGGTTAGTGAGACAGCGAAAAACAAATACAACATCACCAGCATACCCTGCAAAATAGTCTCTCCTAGATGAAGGAGGATAGTTACAGAAGATTATCGGTATGCAAATTTGATCGGCTGCTAGTGCTTGGGACTTCGTACAACTCACTAAACTTTTGCGTCAGAGTGAGTCCTTCGGGGTCATAGGCCCTATGTCGTCATTTGCATCCTTTCCTTTGTACATATGCGGTTGATGTGGTGCCGTTGGATTTGGATACTTACTCCAAGCGCCATCTGGCAGGATGGCGCAAGTAAGTATAAAAAGAAAACTGCGATGGGAGGTTAGTAAATGAAGATTAGATCAATTGAACTTGCGAGTATTTTTCTAATTGCGGTGATTTAGCCAAGTTTTTCACGAGCCGGGTTACTCATTTCTACTGGTCCTTCCATGGTACTGACAGTGTCGCATCAAGTGCGGCTCTCCGGAGTGAGGACATTGCATGTGATCATTTGGGTGATAGGGAATAGTATAGGAACACACCTAAGTTCTACCAAGTCTACCCTGGAAGACCACAGGTAAGGGGATGAGCATAGTCGTTCTTTCTTCGCTACATGTGACATGTCTTCTGCAAGGTACATCGCTGTATCGATAGACAGCCGCAGACTCTGCGAGGTTCCCAAAAGAACAAGAACTGGATAGCAGGCCCATCGGTTGAAATCTGTGCGCAGTGGTTGGAGGTGCGGAGTGAATATAATGGACCATCAGTTCAGAGGAAGGAAAACGAATGGTACATCAGCGTAAATGTACGTTGATGTGTGCTTGCTTATAGCCGTATTATGACTCTTGTACGGCGCAAAGCAAGATAAGTATTAAGCATCTTTATTTAACACTGTGTGGTGCCGAGAAACTCCGACGGGCTACGTCTCGGCACCCGGCTTTCCGAGTCGTGCATCGAGCACGAGGGCCAAATTGGAAATTTAAGCTCAAGCGGCAGGCTGCGACTCCGAGTGTTCTCATGTTGTTCCTACAATAGCGAAGCAAACTCTACTGTCAGGTAAGTTGCCAGTCTGGGTAGGGCGCGCGTGGTTCTCGTTCTCATTGCCTTACTGGTTATTAATATTGCTGACACGATTAGCAGTGGGTGTCGATGAGTTCCCCGGTGTGCAACGGTATGTTTTGGGATTCAAATGCGAACATTGCCGAGAATTTCCTTCAACGCGAGCATGTCGAATCAAGTCGAGTCTCCACCTTCGCATTGGCATCCAGGTCAGTTCCAACACTCCTCAACATTAATTGCGCTCTTCGCATTACCATTTCAACTATACTGACTAGCTTTATATACACATACAGTTGTTTCTCCTCGAGCTCGACCCTCATCCCAAATATTCTCGTCCATCCTTCACATTCTACGCTACCACACTCAGGCTGGTGTGTTTCCTCCCCCCTTCCGAGATTGTGTCACTCACCCGGAACTACTCCCGTCTACCCATTACCCACATTCGCAGTCACAACATCTTTGGCGGCTGCGAGATGAATCTCATCAGGCCGTGCAGCTTCCCTATCAACAAACTAACTACAAATACCACGACCATGACTGTGGGCTACTATGGCGGGCTGTACCATTCACAGAGCTCTGAAGAGTTGTTCATGTGCGCATCTGGTCTCAAGGTCTGTCCTGCCCCGTTATATTACTGACTTCCTAACGAGAACTCCAAACTCACAAATGCACCACTAGATTATCATCTCACGAAATTCGATACCAAGTCTTCATTAAGACGTTCGTGCTCACACTCCTGACGTCCACGAGTCTTCAGTTTGAATTAGGAACGTGATACCCTACCAACGATCCTAAGCTTAGCATGACCTCGGACACTACTTATACAACTCTAAATATCGTAAATTCCTGCATTTTGAACCAGTTCTCGCAATACAGAACCTCGCACGAGCCTGACAGCCTATTTTCCCGCAGGAACGACTATCCCCACCTTTGCGCATGCCCAAATACGGATCTCGTAGTTCGCACCGGACCACGCAATCACGCCATCGTTGGATGGGTAAGGTAGGCCTTCAATTGCGCGAATTCACTTCCCTTGGACCATTCATTGATCCAACCATCAGCTCAAGCACCTGCTCTCAAATGATGCACTGCGAAACCAAGGTCGATCTCTGCATTCTCGCGCGCCTGGCCAAGGACTCAGATATACTAGATGGATACGCCGTGTTGATGTCAAGGTATACTATGTATTTTGAACAGTTGCTTTCAAAACGACAGTATCCTAGGTTAAACCATGAAAACGATTCGTGGACCGCTGATGATCATCGAGTCATCATTCACTGTGAATTTCTCCTACTGCTAGTACTAGTACACTTCTCCTTTTCGGACAGTCCTGATTTGAACACGGATTTCTCTTTATACCGAAACTGGATCCCCTGAACACCATTACTCTTCGCTCTTTGGTTCCACAAACATGCCAGCGCCGTAATACCTTGCCTCGCCACCGATCTGTGCCTCATTACCAAGGTGTGCCCCGTGTGGCAACGAAAGCTGCAGAATTGCAGAAACCCGTGGAAGATAGAACGAAGCGTTCTCAAACACTCTGCCCCACTGCCTCTTAGCACGAGAAGGCTCTTCATTCTCCTCAGACGATTGATACTTGTGTGCAAAGAACTCTTCCAGACAGTCGCAATCATCACCATCTTCGACAGCGCGGATAAGAACAGGATGGAGGACAACATTGAAATGATTCTCGAGAGCATCGAAAAGTGCTGAGTCGGTTCCCTTGAGGTATTTCTTCTTCACGCTTGCCTTGCGGTAGAGATGAGTGAGCGGGAAAGCGACGACAGTAGTGCCTCCGTCATGCAATTCTCTGATTTCATCAACGACAGCCTGCACCAACTTCTGGTCCAAGTTAGGATAAGTGTTGATGTGGGATGCAATGTGCTGGTGACGAAGAAAAGCCTGTTGCATGGGAGTGTAACTAGGTGGTTTAACCCAATATCGAGATGATTGCTCGACGACTTCGACGTCATACTGGAGCACCAGACGTGTGCCCTTGGTCACGGGCATGACTTTGTGCTCTGTGTCTGTGTAGAATGCGACAACGACTGGCTGGAGCTCTTCGCCGGACTTTCTCGAATGCTTTGTTGGATGCATGTTGACAATTGTCTCAACGCCTTGATGCCTCAACATAAGCTCTCCCCCCTCCCATTCCATGTTAAGTGCGACGAGCACCGTTCCATGGTGAGCATCGCTATGCGTCGAGTCACGATGCCAGTCGAAATGGCCTCCTTCGCCGTATATGGCGAGCTTGTATAACTTGAGGGAAACGTTTCTCCCGACAAACATGCTGGTCTGAAGTTCATCCTCGACTTTGCTCACAAACTGTTCATATTGTGATTTCTTATCCCCCCGTAAACTGAAAGCGAGCTCGTCCGCTTTGAGCTCTGTTCCGTTCCTGTAAGTTGGGTCCAAGACAGTCTCTGCTCCCCTGCCGAACGGCGAAGGGGTGGCGTGCTTTTGTAATACGCCGACGTCAGGGTTCATCCACGTCCCCGCGTCTTCTCCCTTGACGAGCAGCTTAAATGTGGCTGTCCCTGCCCGACTCTTGAAGGATACGAATGGACTGCAGGCAAGATTGTCGAGCGCACGTGTGAGCTTAGTCTCTCTTTGCACTTTATACGCTACATCAGAGCTGGAAAAAGAATCGATATGTTCTCCGATGCGCTTGAGGACGGAGAGCTCATGCTCTGGCTCTGAGTTCGAGGAAACTGATGAGGTGTCCGAGTCCATTTTCGCTGATGTGGTTATCGATGGAAGAGCCTCGGTGGCAAATGGTTTAAATCGCGAGCCCCTATGCCTGATTATTACATAAAATGATCATACCCCCTGTGGCAAGAGAAACTTGTCCGCTGGAACTCAGTACTCAGGTGGACCGGTGGGCGTCGTCTACGCATGATGCGTAGCATCTTAAATGCTTCTTTTATCGTGGCCGGCATGAATTGGACAGGCAGGCCTGGCCCTGATTAACACTGGCTGTTCGCGGGCAAATACTAGAACTGAATCCAAATACTATCGAGTCGACACTTCGAGCCGAGCGCCTACGTTTAGGGGTATACGAACCATTGCAAGAAATCAACTGCCAGTAATAAACAATAATAAATATCAATAAACGTTCAATGTGGCTGTATGTCATGACTGATCCAGTTTAAAGTTTTTGAACCATGTCGCTCAATTCTGCCCTGGATAAATGAAAGAGATCATAGCTGCAGTAGGTGACGACAACTTGAATAGAGCTGAAAAACGCCAGTGCAGTGACTTAGTGGCTACCGTGCAAGATTCGACGGACACCCATTTGCCGATCATATCAGCAGCGAACAACAAGGCAGACGTCGTGTTCGCAATTCGAAAACGCGCTAAATCAGCTCACTGTCGATGAAATCGTCTCCTCAGAATTTGTGTTGCCAACTTGCTAGTTGAGTGTTGGAATGTCTTTGTAGGCCTGGGTTCAGTCGTTGCATAGATGGATGGCTGCTGGTGTGTCCGCTCGCTATTACATTTGTTTTATCATCAATAAACTCTTGTCCAAGTCTGTCATATACAAGACGATGCCTTCAAGTTGCGCGACCCTGCTCAATGTATCATGTATGCAAAAGTACTTGCAGTCAGTCCTCTCAACGGTGCCAGGTGTTTGTAATCTGAAGCTTAGATGTTTGAGTAAACCGTCATGTCTGATAACTGGTCTGGTTGGTTTCTCTTCGTCACACCGGCTTTCATCAACTAAAATGCAGCACACGCTCATTTTGCTATATACAGAGATGTGGCTGGAGTTCAACGGAGCAGAATGATATGAGCCTGCAGTATGCAGCTGCCACAGGTATGACGTGCCATATTGATCAAGGTGTCTCCCGCTTACCTTATTGCAACTCTACACTATCAGGGATATCATTCAAGTTTGTGCCCTGTTGTATTCGGGAGGCATAGAGCCCAGGTGCACTCAAGAATGGTTTGTTGCCAATGTGTATTAGCGTTTTATTCAATGATATCGGTACAGCGTCACTTTCCCGGCTTCGCATTCATCCGCACTGATTGATCTATACTAATACAAGCCTACAAGGTCACCGAGACAATGTTTGCCTCGTATAAAGCACCGCTAACGTTATTTGTGAACGAAGCTACTAATAAGTGCCGCTCACCTTCCAGTTCGAACATTACGAGAGCGTATGACAGATTCTGATATGGGGCCTTTTCATCGAGTACTATCTTCAACAAGAGCGTCTGGAAGTTTCAGAACTTGACTCAGTTCGTACCACGCCTATCTGTGACCTCACCCAACTTTATAACACAGTACCAGAGACGCCTCACGAGCTCATGATGAGGCGTGACAAACCTTCATACCGCTGCAGTCTACTGGTTCGCCGTCATGGTATCCGATCAGGCTATTGTATCGCCCCGTTAGGACCTAGTCGAAGCAACTGTTACAGCAAGAGAAGGAACTTGAAGTTCATACCAGCCGCTGGAGACCGAACCGAAATGATAGCATAGAAGAACTTCTGACTATTCGGAACCACATTATCGTCCCAATACTTGATTTGGGCCCTTACGATACGTCCGTATGTGGTCAAAGGTATAAGAACTTCGCGAGTTTCTGACATCTGATGACCATTCCTCCCGATTACAGTCATGCAGTTCTCATTTGTCTTCAACACACTCCTTTCCTTTATCGCTATTGCAGCAGCATATCCCACACCATCAGGGATGAAACTTTCTTGTGAGGACATATGCATCACTCTTGTTGATGGGCGTGGAATTGATATGCAATACAGCTTTGGCTAAGCGTGAGGGGCTTGGCTCTAACCTTATTGGTGATTTGGACACTAGGTTCCCTAACGATGTTAGTCAACCTAGCGTGCCTAGCGGCCCTCCAAATAGCAACATTGACTACTTGGACACTCGGGCCTCCAACGATGTCAGTCAGCCCAGCATGCCCAGCGGCCCTCCCAATAGCGACATTGACTACTTGAACACTCGGGCCCCCGACAATAGTCACACCAGCAATCCTTCCAACACTTCTTCCAACACTCCTTCCAGCACTTCTAGTAATTCTAACGACACTAGTCACTCCAGTCACTCCAGCAATTCTGCCAGTAGCGACGCTGAGTACTTGAGCGTCCGGGTCCCTGGCGACGACACTAGTCACCCCAGCGACACTTCCAACACTTCTAACCCTGCCAACACTGCCAATGGCAATGGCGATGAGAGCGATGGCGACGAGGATGTTAAAATGTGAATCGTGGGGAGTAACCGGACGAAGAGGGTTGGTGACTCCAGGGCTGAAAGATGATAAAACGTGATCAGCATCACGATCCATCCGTGCTATATATCTATTTTATATCCACAATCATTCTTGATACCCCCGCCCACGTCATTCTACCTCTCAACCTGTTCCAATAAACTTCCAAGTACGATATTGTTTCCCCTCAGTCTTGTGAACCAAGACTGAGGTCAGCATACTAAGTACTTACTGCCACATCCGGTGCATATATTTACCTGACAATACAGGGTCCTCTCTTTTTATGTTTATATCATAGCTGTAGTAGTTTAGAGACGATGTGCATTGCTCTATGTATTGGCTGCATGCCTCTGTTTTTATGATGCCGATATGATGAGCGTCACGAACGTATATGTTGGTTGAGCTTTTGTACAGCGCCTGCCTTGCTTTCCGTAAAAGCAAATGAACATCTGTTCCTTTATCTTCGTATAAAAAGGACCAGATGTCAAATGGCACCGCTGCCTACACAAGAACTCCTAGACGACGTCACTTTCCCAGTTTCATACTCTTCCGCACAAAGAAGGCCAAGAAACATGTTTATTTCATGTGTGCGAAGGACGTATAACACTTTGGTACTGATCGATCTATACTAGTAGTACAAGGTCCCTGAGACAGCAAGAATCAAATACAACAATCTGTCAAATTATGAGCCAATCAAACAGTGACGGACTCAGAGGGAAATTTTCCCGTCAACGCAGCTATGCTATGCACGAGCTGTTCAACCTGTGTCACAAGTGCACTAAGTCGGAGATCCTGTTCTACGAAGCGAGATTCCACCATCGCAGCCAACTTATCGTCTCGTAAGGAAAACGAAGTAGTCTCGTTGACGTTAGCCAAAGGTTCGTCTGATACTCCGATGCCTGTATCTTGAACCCGGTCTTTAATCTTGATCAGCCAGTGTTTGTAAGGGTGGTGATTCGTGACCACGTTGAACACATCGTGAAATGTACAATCACTGCATAGGGCAATGGGGGATTTGCGTTCTGTGATAATTGTTAAGCTTTGTGCCCCGTCAGAGATATGGAAATCTGACCTGCGCAGGTAATGCATACATAAAAAATGCCGTTCATCTTAACGCCGCATTCAGCACAAGAATAGGCATCCTCGTTCGTGGCTGAGGTTCCAGGTATCCTCTCGAATGCTACTCCTGTGTTCCCATTGAGCTTTTCATCACCTTCCCGCAAATCGACACAGGTGGGAAAATCATTTGCTTGAGTGGCTTCTGTCGGATGCGCAAGTTCAGGCTCATCTGATTGCGTTTGAGATTCGTCTTCTCGCACAGTCAATGGTGCTTCTAGTGGTGCTGGAGCGGGCACGTAAGTGGATAAGGAATTCCTGGCACGCCATCGGATTCTGCTGTAGCGACCATCAGGTACCGACATGCGGAAGACAAGCATGTTGTGAGTTGACTTGTGGTCGGATGGATATTTATGATCTGAGACCGGCTGAGATTCGCAATCCGCACACAAATCATAGTCATCTGTGTAAAAACATTAGTTGTCTTGCACGAAAGAAATGTCTCTGTGACCCTCACCGCACTCGCAGTCTATACAAAGGTGAAGGACATCGCCGATAAGGTAATCGCATGCATCGCACTGACAGCTGAAAATCGCAAAGGCAGATGTTTAGAGAATGATAAATAGACAGAAGATGGGCTCACTCGAATATTCGTCTACGTATCTGAAGCTCAGCAAATGAATCCCAGCGCTCGACGTCTGTAGGTGGTTGCTCCTGGGACAAGACATCGAACCTCTCTTTGTCTGTCAACGATATGTAAGGCGGGACACCGTGAGGGCAGTCCCACATATTGATCATGTTCGACAGGACATTCATGCACCGCAAACGGATGTATTCATGCATGGTGCCTTCAGGCTGCTGAACAGGACTGAATGCGACGAGCTTGACAGGCCTTCCTATCCCTTCACTGTCCTCTGCCAGATTGAAAGGACCCAGCTTCAATGCTGATGAATCGATCTCGATCTCCAGCTTGTTGTCATCAAGTCCAAAGTTATGGTTTCCCCAGTATTCGGCGTCATCTGTGGCCAATTCTGGACTGTACCAAAAGTTGTACTATTATGAGATATTAGACCGAATTGATACAAAGTTGCTGTCTACACATACCAAGCCATGCGCATACCATGTGAATCTTGCTTTTGGATCATTACCCTGCTGACGAAACGATTCTGTGATGGTGGAAGGAGATAGCTCATCATGACATACTAGCTTAGAAACGCACCTGCCAGTTGGTCCACGCGCAGAGATACCCCATCCAAGATATTTTCTATCGTTTGAGTTGCAGATTCAAGCTCTCTCTCGACTAGAATCACTGTGGTAGCAAGTTTCATGATCTGTAAATGCCTCCTGATTACGAGGTAAAGCAAAGGCAGCAAGAACTGAACAAGCACAATGACGTGTGTGAGCATTCAGCGCAATCACTGAGTCAATAACCCACATTCTCGATGCGACCAGATCCGAAAAGTTTGATGGAATCTCTGGAGTCGATTTCATACTTGACGATGTTGAGCTTGTCCATCAATGTCGCCTCTTGAGCCTCGCGACGCCGAGCAGTCAATTGCGCGAGATCCAAGTCCGAATCCTCCGATCCAAGCTCTGCAATAGAACGGACGAGCCTTTTGATATCTGGCTGCTGTGTAAATATCCTCGTCAAAAGATGGGCAGAGCGACGCACCATCGATGACATATGAGTTCAAGTATGTGACAATACACCCCCTGTTTTCTGGAAGTACATCTGCTTGTGCATAAACCATGCTGTTCAAGACCTGTTCAATTCGTGCATGATAGTATTGGCTATCCACCCTCCAGCCTTCACTGACGTAAGCACTGGCTCAACCTGACGATGAAACTTCTTACCTGCAGCCCAGTATGCAAGTGCTTGCGGCAGAGTCCAGCCCAAAGGCATTGCAGATGTAAAAGCATTCACTTCCCTTATACTGACCAAGCCATTCGCATCGCCGTCGAAGCCTTCGGATAAACCTGGAATGTAGAAGACGGACAGATATTTCAAGCACCATTTGTCTGCAGGGTCGACATTAGGAAGTTTTTGGTACGAAGGATCGGCTGCTGCAAACTCGCGGTCTTCTCCTTCTGAATCGGACATGACAGAGACAGAGGGAGTTGGAGACGGGACTCGCAGTACCAATGACGAAATATCCGATGGTGCTTCTGGGAGTGGAGCATCGTGACGGAGGCGGGAGAAACGGTTCACGTAATAATCATGGAGTTCCGCAATGAAGTACAATGTCTTGACGCTTGTTGTCCATTTCTCGGTGATGATAAGTATTCGCTTCGATCATCATGCCTGCACAAAGACATACCATCTCTTTCCAGATATATCGGAGGTGCTGATGAAATTGAACGAATTAATGATGCATAAGGTTGAGTTTTTCAATCCTTACTGGATCCTTGACCCGTCGAAATCTGCTGTTAAAGGCCCACATAATGCGCGTTTCGGAATCTTTGATGGCATCTTTGATGTCGGATGTCTGTGCATCAAGCTTGAACATGAAGAGCGCGCGATTCTCATCGAGTAGGTTGCGCAACGGAGTATGCAGTTCATGAAGCAGTGATGCATCAAGGTGGGACTGCTTGCCGACCGATCCGTTCGCAGAAGCGGTCTTTGAAGTAGGCTTGTTGACATCTTTGGTAGGAACATCGGCGCGTGCTTTGTTCTGTGGACGCCCTTCCTGTTGCTCGGCGATTTTCAGTAGCTCCGCCATTTTGTCTTCGCTTTCCAAACATTTCTCTCTTCCACCGCGCATCTGCACTTCTTTCTCGAATCTTGCTTCGCGATCGGTTTGCGTCCGGATCAGCTTGTCTAGTTTATCAATGGCAATATCAACCCTCAACGTTGTTCTGATATTTAAGGCGAGCTGGAGGTCCTGCGTACGCTGGGAAAAGCTGGTGCAAACTCTCAGGAATTCGCTCGCCCAATGGGAGGATCTGAATAATTTCACTAGAAATGTGGTTCTCTATACGAAGCACCCATGAATATGAAGAAAACTAACCCATGAACTTTGACTTGTAGTATTTGTCAATGGCGTTTCCGCAATCTTGGATATCTTGCTTGATACCATCCAGGACACGATCCAATCGCCCCCGAATGTTGCCGTGAGGTCCCACGATGGCAGGATCTCTGGTGTCCTTAAGTCTATCATAGACATAGAATAGAGTCAGTAAGAATCGTTCAAAGCTAGCGTCGGATCACGAACTGGAGGAGCATGGTCATCATGTCAGATGCTTGAGATAACATCAGTCCAACTCTACGATCGTTTTCTCTTCTTGTTAGCTCAAGATTCACGATGGCCTTGAAAGCGAGTATAGCCACTGAAATTCATCCAAACATTACCTGAGGCAGAAACATCGACAAGTGATAACACACCACCGACAAACGGGTGAACCTGTTGCAGAACATCCAGGGCCTCCATCACCTTCTTCGCCTCTCCAAGAAAGTCGCCCATATTCTTCTTTGATATGTCCGCAACCATCGCATCAGATGCAGAGTTGATGGTTGCATTCTGAGTACAGAAATCGTACACCGATCCAACTTCTTGAGCAGTCTGGACGACGCAGTCCTCTGAAGAAGAGCATAGTAATCTAAATAGCACCCTGGCTTACTGGGATGGATTGTGAATGACGAACCTGCCTGATCCCACTTGTCGAGCTTTCTAGCGAAGGTCGAGTTTAAACTCGAGGTGGCATCATCCAATGCCTTCTGCGTCCGTTCAATAGTAATGTCAGATATGAATTTTTCTGTGTGAGCCATGGAGACTGCGCAGCACTCGTGAAGAACTCAAGGGAAGAGACTGAGGTGATAATTCTGTCAGAACGAGCTGATTAACGAGATGGCTTACCAGTCGATCGTGATTTATCCCCATAGGGCTTGCGACTTGTCAGTGACAGTAAAGTTGCCGGGGTGCGGACCGTGCGGTGCTGAACTGCCCGAACGGTTTGAGATAGTTTCGGATGCAGGTTCGGGGTAGTCAAACGAGTTCGAACCCCTGCTGAATCCGGCGGGAACTGAGTACTGTAGTACCCACCTACACTCCTCGTCACTGACGTTATAAGTCATACCAGCCAGTATCACTGAAAAGAGAATTGAGTTCCGCTTATTTCATGGACGCGACATAGTCTTGGTAGACTACGAGATCGATCAGATTCAAACTCACCTGCTGCTGCTGTATGACCTGGCCCGGGTACTATGACTTCAATATATCACAATATCAAAATAAAAGTGAATCCATCCGAAACCTCATATGATCTGTTCAAAGTCTCCCGCCAAATGATCATGTTGAGGACGAGGGCAAGATGCAACACACACGAGGAGAGAGATATACTCTTCCGCACTTGAATGAAAGCCAATTACAGACATGTTTATTTCACATGTACGAAGGACGCGCGTATACATATAACACTTTGGTATAGATCGATCTATACTAGAAATACAACAGTCTGCCAATTTATGAACCAATCAATCAGTGACGGATTCAGAGGGAAGCTCTGCTTTTCCTGTCGATGCAGCCATACTATGCACAAGGTATTCAACCTGTGTGACAAGTGTACTAAGCCGGAGATCCAGTTCTACGAAACGAGATTCCACCATTGCAGCCAGCTTATCGACTCGTAAGGAAAGCGAAGTAGATTCGTCCACGTTGGCCAAAGGTTCGTCTGATGTTTCGATGCTTATATCTTGAACCCGGTCTTTAATCTTGACCAGCCAGTGTTTGTAAGGGTGATGATTCGTGGTCACGTTGAACACATCACGAAATGCACAATCACCGCATAGGGCAATGGCGGAATAGAGTTCTGTGATAATTGTTAAGCTATGTGCCCCGTTAGAGATATGGAAATCTGACCTGCGCAGGTAAGGCATACATAAAAAATGCCCTTGATCTTGACACCGCATTCAGTACAAGTATGTAGATCCCCATTCGCGGTTGAGGGTTTAGGTATTTCCCCCTGAGATACTACTCCCGGGTTCCCGTTCAGCTTCTCATCACCTTCCTGCAAATCAACAGAGGTGGAAGAATCGTCTGCTCGAGTAGCTTCTATCGGATGCGCAAGTTCAGGCTCATCTGATTGCGTCTGAGATTCGTCTTCTCGCACAGCAAATGGTGCTTCTAGTGGTGCTACAGCGGGCACGCAAGTGGATAAGAAATTCCTGGCATACCACCGGATTCTGCTGTAGCGACCATGAGGTATCGACATGCGGAAGACAAGCATGTTGTGTGTCGATTTGTGGTCGGACGGGTATTTGTGATCTGAGACCGGCTGAGATTCGCAATCTGCACACACATCATAGTCATCTATGTAAAAAGATTAGCCCCCTTACACGAAAGGGTTATCTCCGTAATACTCACTGGACTCGCAATCTATACAACGGTGAAGGATATCACTAACAAGGTAATGACATGCGTCGCACTGACACCTGAAATACAAATATTTAAAGAATGATAAAATAGACAGAAGACGGACTCACTGGAACAACTGTCTACGCATCTGAAGTTCAGCGAATGAATCCCAGCGTTCGACATCTGTGGGCGGTAACTCTTGGGACAGAATATCGAGCCTTTCTTTGTCGACCAACGATAAGTAAGGCGGAATATCGTAAGGGTAGCCCCACGTATTGGACAAGTCATTCATGCACCGCAAACGGATATATTCGTCCATGGTAGCTTCAGGCTGCTGAACGGGACTAAATGCGACGAGCTTGACAAGTCTTCCTATCCCCTCATTGTCCTCTTTCAGACTGAAAGGACCGAGCTTCAATGCTGTTGAATCGATCTCAAGCTTACTGACATCAAGCCCAAAATCGTGAGTTTCCCAGTATTCGGTGTCATCTGTGGTTAATTCTGGACTATGCCAAGAGTTGTACTATTATGAGGTATCAGACCGGAAACCAATATAAAGTTGCTGTTTCTACGTACCAAACCATGCGCATACCACGTGAATCTCGCTTTTGGATCATTACCTTGTTGACGAAATGATTCTGTGATGGTGGAAGAGATAGCACACCATGATATAGCTTAGAAACGCACCTGCCAGTTGGTCCACGCGCAGAGACACCCCTTCCAAAATATTTTCTATCGTTTGAGTTGAAGATTCAAGCTCTCTCTCGACTAGAATCACTGTGGCAGCAAGTTTCATGATCTGTAAATGCCTCCTGATTACGAGGTAAAGCAAAGGCAGCAAGAACTGAACAAGCAGTGACTCGTGTAAGCATTCAGTACAACCACCGAGTCAGCAACCCACATTTTCGATGCGACCAGATCCAAAAAGCTTGATAGAATCTTTGGAATCGATTTCGTACTTAACAATCTTGAGCTTATCCGCTAATGTCTCTTCTTGAGCCTCGCGACGCCGAGCAGTCAATTGCGCGAGATCCAAGTCCGAATCCTCCAATCCAAGCTCTGCAATAGAACGGACGAGCCTTTTGATATCTGTCTGCTGTGTAAATGTCCTCGTCAAAAGATGGGCAGAGCGACGCACCATCGATGACATATGAGTTCAAGTATGTGGCAATGCACCTCCTGTTTTCTGGAAGTACATCTGCTTGCGCGTAAACCATGCTGTTCAAGACCTCCTCGATTCGTGCATGATAGTACTGGCTGTCCACTCTCCAACCTCCACCGACATAAGCACTGGCTCGAACTGACGATAAAACTTCTTACCTGCAGCCCAGTATGCAAGTGCTTGCGGCAGAGTCCAACCCAAAGGCATTGCGGACGTAAAAGCATTCACTTCCCTTATACTAACCAAGCCATTCGCATCGCCGTCGAAGCCTTCGGATAAACTTGGAACGTAGAAGACGGACAAATATTTCAAGCACCATTTGTCTGCAGGATCGACAGTAGGAAGTTCTTGGTATGAAGGATCGGCTGCTGGAAGCTCGCGGTCTTCTCCTTCTGAATCGGACATGACGGAGACAGTGGGAGTTGGAGATGGCACTCGCAGCACCAACGATGAAGCCTCTGAATCTGCTTCTGGGGGTGGAGTATTATGACGGAGACGGGAAAAACGGTTCACGTAATAATCATAGAGTTCTGCAATGAAGTATAGTGTCTTGACACTTGTTGTCCATTTCTTGACGATGATAAGTATGCGCTTCGATCACGCCTGCACAAAAACATACCATCTCTTTCCAAATATATCGTAGGTGCTAATGAAATTGACCAAGTCAGTGATGCATAAAGTCGAATTCCTTAATCCTTACCGGATCCTTGATCCGTCGAAATCTACTGTTGAAGGCCCACATAATGCGCGTTTCAGAATCCTTGATAGCATCTTTGATGTCAGATGTCTGTGCATCAAGCTTAAACATGAAGAGCGTGCGATTCTCGTCAAGTAAGTTGCGTAACGGAGCACGTAGTTCATGAAGCAGCGATGCATCAAGGCGGGACTGCTCGCCAACCGATCCGTTCGCAGAAGCGGTCTTTGAAGTAGGCTTGTTGACATCTTTGGTAGGCGCATCAGCATACGCTTTATTCTGTGGACGCCCTTCCCGTGGATCGGCGATTTTCAGTAGCTCTGCTAGTTTATCTTCGCTTTCCAAACATTTCTCTCTTCCACCACGCATTTGCACCTCTTTCTCGAATCTTGCTTCGCGTTCGGTTTGCGTCCGGATCAGCTTGTCTAGCTTATCAATGGCAATATCAACTCTCAACGTAATTCTGATATTTAAGGCGAGCTGGAGGTCCTGCGTACGTTGGGAAAAGCTGCTGCAAACTCTGAGGAATTCGCTTGCCCAATGGGAGGATCTGAAGAATTTCACTGGGAATGTGATTCTCTATATGAAACGCCTAAGGATATGAGGAAAACTAACCCATGAATTTTGACTTGTAGTATTTGTCGATGGCATTTCCGCAATCTTCGATGTCTTGCTTGATGCCATCCAGGACACGATCCAATCGCCCCCGAATGTTGCCATGAGACCCCACTATGGCAGGATCTCTGGTGTCCTTAAGTCTATCATAGAATCGTGTCAGTAAAAATAGCTCAAAGCTAGTGTCGGATCACGAACTGGAGGAGCATGGTCATCATGTCAGATGCTTGAGCTAACATCAGTCCAACTCTACGATCGTTTTCTCTTCTTGTTAGTTCGAGATTCACGACAGCCTTGAAAGCAAGTATAGCCACTGAAATTTATTCAAATATTAGCTGAGGCAGACACATCGACAAGTGATAACATACCACCGACAAACGGGTGAACCTGTTGCAGAACATCCAGGGCCTCCATCACCTTCTTTGCCTCTCCCAGAAAGTCGCCCATATTCTTCTTTGATAGGTCCGCGACCATCGCATCAGATGCAGAGTTGATGGTTGCATTCTGAGTATAGAAATCGTACACCGATCCAACTTCTTGAGCGGTCTGGATGACGCAGTTCTCTGAAAAATAGCATAGTAATCTGAATAATACCCTCGCTTACTGGGATAGATTATGAATGACGAACCTGCCTGATCCCACTTGTCGAGCTTTCTAGCGAAAGTCGAGTTTAAATTTGAGGTGGCATCATCCAATGTCTTCTGCGTTCGTTCAATCGTAATGTCAGATATGACTTGTTCTGTGTGAGTCATGGAGGCTGCGCAGCAGGGAAAGCGCTCGTGAAGAACTCAAGGGAAGAGACTGAGGTGATAATTATGTCAGAACGAGCTGATTTAATGAGATGGCTCACCAGTCCACCTATCCCCATAGGGCTTGCAACTTGTCAATAGCAAGTGACTGCCCGGACCGGTTTGAGATAGGTTCGGGTGCAGATTCGGGTAGTCAAACGAGTTCAAACCCCTGCTGAATCCGGCGGGAACTGAGTCGGATTGTACAATAGTACCCACCCACGCTCCTCGTCACTGACGTCTAGGGCGGTTATAAGTCATAGTATCACTGAAAAGAGAATTGAGTTCCGCTCATTGCATGGACGTGACATAGTCATGGTAGACTACGAGACCGATCAAACTCACCTGCCGCTGTATGACCTGGTATGACTTCAATATATCAAACATTGATTGCAGATATCAAAATAAAACTGAACCCATCCGAAACCTCATATAATATGTTCAAAGTCTCCTGCCAAATGATCATGATGAGAACGAGGGCAAGATACAACGCAAACGAGGAGAGAGATCGAACAAGACCGTGACAAGCACACGACAAGAGTGAAATTGAGAACCAATTGGAGAGTGTGTGTCTATATATTTATATACTGCAATAAACAGCGGAAAATGTTGAGACGCGAGCTGTCCTAGGTAATAGTAGTGTACGGGATAAAGGTATGATGTGAATAGCCGATAAAGTCTGTTTTGAAGTGTTGATGTTTCGATGTACCCTCCACAACTTCAAGTTGTACTACCTCCGTCATCGATCATCCCGCCTCCGACAAGTGCTCGTCATTCAATATTCAATATTCAACCTGCCCCCTACCCTTTGCCGTCTTCTTCCTTCTCCCACTCACTGGACGTCCTCTTCTCCATTACCCTACTATTCTCCCTTCAATGTCTTGAATCTTCCTCATCATTTCTGTCTTCCCTTCTTGAACGCATCGCACTATCCCAAAAATCTAACCATTGCCATCATAATGGTCTGTTTCTCCGTACCTTTGATTTTGCTGGGTTCGAGGCGGCGAGATACTTCGCACAAATGAATACGTCGACGGGTGAATAGAGGAATTGATTGACAACATACTCAAGTGCGTGACCACTGACCAACTCGCTGCCCCCAGCGGCTCTCGCAATAACCCACCTTCTTAAATTATGTAGACTATATCTTCATGAAAAGCATGTTCATAGATAATCTTGACGTGAATTATATCATACATACTGAGACAGCCCGGCTGATATCTGTCACGTCGTTCAACTCGCTACCAACCAATACTAAATAACTGACTTTTCAGTGTCATTTCCAGTGTCGCAGTCTACAGACGGAATTGCTACAGCAACAGGTTTGTCAAAGGAGAAGAGTCGAAGATATGTTGAGTTCTCCTATCACTGCTCAAAACACATCCGGATTGCAACACGGATCAAGTTGAGGAAATGAAAGACTTACTCGTGCATCAACCAATCATCCAACAACCACCGTACCAGGTCTGTGTGACCAGCCTGATGATAGTATGGGAATCATAAATCCATCAATGCCTTTGGCTTCAAATGAATCGAAACATCAGCCATCTGACACCGTGGAGCGTCTCTGGCTTTCGGATCCGAAAAGTGCGGTCCCCCAATTTCCTTTTCATTGCAGCTTTTGGTCAAGCTGGAGAACGAGGCGAAGAACGGCCAGATGCGATTATCCATTTCTACTCGAGCCCATAGAAAAACGCAGCCACCATATACGTCCTTCAGTGTCATGAGATGAGCGTCAGGAGCAAACCGAGAGGGAGGGAAAACGCACCCCGCAACAAACTCAGAGGTTAGTTTTTGTGTGCTGTACAGGCGTCTCTAAAACATCTTGATCCAGAAGGAAACAACACAGGCCATGTACACAGTCTGTACAACTCAGGTATCGAAACACTGATAGCTCGATGTAAGAAGAACCGAGGGCCGAGGGGTCTCAAGGTCGCGTCACGTGTGATTTTCGATCCAGCAAGTAAGTTCAGCGCACGACTTGCGAGATGAATACCATCTACGTCCAGTCCGCACAACAAGTACTAGTATGCAGCTAAATTCAATCTGCATACCACGAATACCGTGCACAGGTTGCAGCATAATCCACGACTGGGTTCACAACGAGCACAAGGGGGCAAAGGTACAATGCGACGGAAAAGAGCAGCAGAACAACGAGTATGAGATAACAATGAAATAGATAATCAGATAGTAGAAAGAAAGAGAGAAATGAACAACGCACACTACACCACCATTCTGATAATACGACATACTCACCCTCAAAACAAGCATCACCTACGGTATGCCACACTCACCCGTCTCCAACTCCCTTCACTACCACTGTCGGAACCCTCCTCGTCAAAATCACTAAACGGATTATGCAAATGCGCACTTCCGCTTCGTAAAGCCGAGATTTCCACCCCATTCGGATCTAATGCCTCGCCAAACACTATGAACTCGTGCTCACTCATCAAGGGAGATAGTGCGCTCGCAGCACCTGAGAGGGATGCAGACGGGGGGAGGTGCACCTCACTAATACGAACAGGCGGGGAGGTTAAGTCAAGTGGAGAGCCGGGGCGGCTATAGCTCCCAAGGCTCAGTATGTCTGTGTTTGGGGAGGAGAAGGTAGTGTGCGATGAAGGTGGGGAGAGCATGACAGGGGGAGTGGGCGGAGCAGGATAACGTTCTGATAGTGACTCCATGATGCTAGTATTTGTGCTCATATCCTCGTGCATCCTCGCATTGATGCCGCTGTTGCTGTTAAAGTTAACATGCTCGCCATCAGCGTCAATGTCCACACGCCTGCCCTGCACATCCACGCTGATGTGCGAGCTTGAGCTCGAGTGCTGCAGAGACGACCTGCTCGATGGTACGTGAGAACGCATGGGAGTGCGCACAACCGGAGAAATTGGGCGGGTAGAGTAGGGAGAATTTGTACGGGGAGTGGAACCGGAGTGGGAGCAGCTGGGCGTGCAGGTGGAAACAGAGGGAGCTTCTGCGAATGGGGAGGAGACATTGGAAATGAAATAGGTGGGTGTGAGCGGAGTGTGCGTGAGTGACGAGAAAGACTGTTTATATTTGATCAAAGGGTAAGATGGAAGATGGAAGACAGACATACCTCATCCATTGTGCTAGATATACTCCCTTCGTCTGTGTCAGGAATTACTCCGACTCTCCGCCTCATACCGGTGCCTGGGGTAGTGCGATGGACCTGGTTCCGCCATTCATCGAGGTCGAACCCTTGTAGTTCGACAGAATCTTCTTCTCCCGCAGGGGTCCTTCTCCTCAGATCAGCACAACTAGGCCCTGGGTCTCCATGCCCAGATCCTCGGGTTGATTGCAAAGGAACAGGATCTCTGCGCCGAGCACGACGGTTGGCGAGGAAGTTCTCTGCCCAACGCTCAATGGCAGGGGCAATGTGGGGTTCAAAGACGAACTGGAGAGTAGATTAGAGGGTTGGAAACGGGTGAAGTCAGAACGGGGAGTTTTTAATAGATATAAAATCACCTCATGGAAAGCAATGACAGCAGCAACACCTGCAATAGCTGCAACAACGCACACCGCTACTGGCGCTGGCATTATGGTTGATTCGATCAGTAACTGACTGCTTCAGTTGAGACTTGGTGCTCTGCTGATATAATTCTAGTTGGATGGATGTGCGGGATGCCTTGGTCGGTAGCGTAGAGGATAAGGAGGGGAAACGAGCTGTCACTCGCCTCGCGGATTTATCCTCACACTCTTGGACTCAGCCTCCCCTGCCAGGCTGCCATCCATAACCCTCTTCTCGGTCACCTTGCTGTTGTACACGTTATGATTGAAAACAGCTGAAAAAAGATACCTGCGACGTAATACTCCTGGGGTTCTTTCATATACCGCATCTTTGTGATTCAGGTCTACGTCAGCGTTCAGCCGCCGGAGATTAGAACTCGTGCAGTACTATCGTAAACAAACAGCACGTCGGTAAAATGATACGCACGTGACGCTGCATCAACTCCGATTTAGCTTGAACTTTGATTCGAAGCGGTACTACTGCAGTGTGTGGCACTACATAGTGGTGTGGTGTGGACTACGTGCAGTGTGAGTATGGCGACTGAACACAGACGTTGCAAACATGTATTCTCACTGCTGGCGTGAACCTTGTGTAGAACTGCACCTACGCTCCTTTTCAGATTAATCATGCCCACCGGCGTACGATCATACTATGCGATATTTTTGGTGAGTTCGAGTCGTCTCTCCGGTTTCAAGTGCGCTTACGTCATTAACAAGGTTGCGCAGTTTTGTTGGTTTGACGTTCCGTCTACGTCGGCTTGATCTATTGCTGTGGTGGACCAAATTTCAAAGCCTCGCTATGGATGCAGAATAAGTTTTAGATTCTAGCTGGTAACTTCCAAACCGTGCGCATAACCCGCTTTGTCGACAGGTCGAGCTGTCTTCCCCCGATAACGTACAAGTGAGTAGTGCTTGATCTATTTCTTTGCAAGGTAATTGATCAATCAATGGTCGTGATACGGGCCATACACTTCAAGTTACTTTTTTTTCGTCGGAAAGATATTTTGATATAACTATCGCTTCCTTCATGGAATATCATTCATATTTTTGAAACACCCTTGGAAGGTGAGCATAAGCATGTCGCCACATACCACCATAAAATTTATAGCACTGCTTATTGCGGGCTGTTCATCTTCCATTGGTTTGCGGCTTCCACTGTCGTCTCCATTCCTCCATTGCTAAAGGGTTCGGGGCAGTAGGATGGCTGCTAGGTGGCGTCATGGCTAGCATCGGCACCTAGTTGCTAACGCTTACAAAAATCTCAGTGACATTAATTACACTGACAGGCTGACTGGTCTTTTCCACATCAGTACCACTGTCGCGATTATGTGCTTTGAGGTCTCACATGCCGTGCTACCAGTCTTTCCTCCAAGCAGCATAAAGTTCAGGTATGCGCAGTCGGTTTTCTTTGACGTATTGTGTCTTTGACCGCCACCCAAGGACCTACAGTCAGTTTGTTGCATTTCGTGCCGCAGCCCACGTCACTCATGCTGTTTTGCCGGCTACGATTTTGACCGCTACTAAATTTCGGCGACCCCATGGAGGTATACATGTCTTCACATTTCGGCACCTCTCCCAAGCGATCACCTTTTATCGGGTTATTTATCCAGCGAGTATGGGTGTCGTCCTAGGCCGCCACCGAGAGCATCCAAGGTATAAATCCAGCGCGATGGTGAGTAGTCCCCTCACTTCACAAAGCATTACACTAAGCCATCCCCCATCCTTTTCCTTTTCATCCCAAAAATCTCATCTTACAAATATCGCAATGTGTCTCACAAAAAAGTGTCTCGAACATTGCACGAGGTGTGGATGGGACAGGCAGACAGGATTTCACCAGACCGAGGTGTGCAATGCACGGCAGCTTTGCAACATCGCGAACAATAGCCACTCGGAGCACAATCTCATTCGACGTTCGCGCAATGATATTGCAGCATACAACAGGACCTGTCTCGACAGAAGTGGCACAGTAGATTTCGTTTGGAGAAATGTGAGATCTTGTAGTCATTGCCTGCGGTGAGGACTGCGTCGATTTCAAATATCGGAACAAGAAGCAGCCTCTTGTTGACAGTTAACATTTTGTACTTTCATTTGATGCGAATTGATTAGGATGTCTGCATGATTTCATTCATCGGGAGAGCTCGATTTGAATCATTCTCTACATGTTCAACTCTTAAATCCAATAAAGCCTTTTTATCTCAACAGTCGTCCGGCACGACAGAGTGGAATAAACTCGTCCTCGATTCAAAGTCCACGCGGATGATGGAATTTTTGAAATAAGCAATATTGACTCTAACGCGATCACGTGAAGATCTCACTGAGTCCGTGGGTTCTTTTAGTACGTCTAAGGCCGCGCCAAGTGCTCCAAGAGTCGGCTCACCTTGCTTGTCTCTTCCACTATCTCAGCAGCTGTCCTCCTGTGCGATGCACATACTATTTGTTCAACTCACTCACCACTTCATCTTCTTTGAAAATTGAGTCAGTGTTGTTTTCAATCTGAACTTTTCAAGCCCGAGGTTCTCTGCATGCTGGCCCATGCTCAGAAGGTGTGTTTCTTCGTCGGTCACAGTCTCTGGTTTTTATCTACACTAATATCTCCTCAGGATCGCGCGACATTCTTTAGCTGGTCTCTCTTGCGTTCACCGATTCTCCAGAGATACAGCTTTGGATGTGCTCCAGTGGGTCGAGCTGGAGAATATGGAACCGCTTTCCATTGCCTTCCGCAAGATATATGGTTCAAGGGTGCGATCGTCGACACTGCTTTCATCATGTTAATGTTAGTTTATACGGCGGCCTATTACGGAATCATCTTGGTGAGTTTTCGAGCGTTACGCATCCCGGTGCAAGTCTGGGACATGGGCTTGGAAGCAAGCATGTGGAGTTCATCCATGCCATGTCTGACTTTTCTTCATGGTCGTTGTCAGTGCCAATCCTTCGAGTCCTTTGCTGCCAAGAATGTCCTCGGGATCTCAAATCGTGTACGTGTTACCTCCTGGGTCTCAACCTCATCTGTCTCCGCCTAGCTTCACCCAAGCCAGATCTTTGGACGAACACCATGTGTTTTCAGGTCTCAGGAGGCATTCACCACGACCGGATGTTCTCGAACTACATGCGACGTTTCCTGAAGTCGCTGGGCTTGAAGGCTCTTTGTGAGCTTCATCTGCAAAGCGTATGGCGGGCCTGTTCGCGAATTGTATATCACGGTCCCTACACCATGTGAAGGCAGCAACCTTCGATTTAGTAGCTCGTCCCTTAACAAAGTCATAATCCACTCTGGCCTCAGTCTATCAGAAATGTTGGGGAAGGCTGTCCGGTCGAACAACTACTGTGCGTTGCGCTTGTACTTTCCCAGATCTTACTGTGCTTGGTAAAACTCGAGGCTGAGCCGTGGACCTGGGTGCCAACCAGGACTAGGAGACACGAAGGACCAAAGCGGAACAAGGTGTCAGGCTGTATTGGAGCTTATACCTTGATCGAACAGCCGGGTCTATGTGCTTAACGTTTAGTGTCCATAGTACTGTACAAAATATTTCAAGTGTCTTGTCAAGCGTTGTCCTAGGTAACCACTTTCTTGAGCAACACGCACTATCTTTGGCTGCATCCTTCTTAAGGGACCTTGAACGTACTATCGAAGGTAGTGTCTGTATGAGTGACCATCTGTTCCGGGTTGGTAAAGGCGAGGATGAATGACAATGAATGCCCAGGAAGACACTCGACTGCAGATAAAAACATAGTATTCGTACAACAACTACCCTAGCACTTCATAATAAATACATGTTACACGCCTATCATGAATCATCGAAGCTGTGATATATCCTACAAGTCGATCAAAAACTACAAGAAGAACAAAAAACTAAAGAACGACCTGACAATGATACCTTGATGACGAATGTATGCTCAGGGACTTCGTTCTGGTTTACGCCCTCCCTTCGATTGACCCTCTGGACCCTCCCCAGGATCACTAATCTCAGGACCTAGTTTCTCGGTGCCACCGTACCGCAGGTTGCTCTCTTTTGCTTGCCCAGTAGGCACGTCATACGGCTTGTCTTTGCTAACATGTTCATAGTACTCGTTGGTCCTGACCCCCGCCTGACTCCACTGCCCTGAAGGTGGCTCGTAAGGACGTTGTACTGCCTCTGATGCGGCGTCGACGCGGTGAATGGTAGGGTCTTGTGGAGCTGTTTCGTCCACGTCTTTGAAGTAACTGTCTGCACTATGGGGCTTAGGTGCGTCTGATGAAGAATACAAAAGACGGGTAGATGTGTGAAGAGAATGATGCAAGGACAAGGGGTAGCGAGAAATCGTTCTGAGGCGCAGATATTGCATTGTTCTGAGCACCGACATGTTGACGATTTCCGTTGTGTTGGCGTTGCGGTCAGTATACTGCGGTCCAGTCTTTTGAATGAATTGACATCACTTATCTTTCACGTGGTAGTCACATGATGTAAAACCGTTTGCTACCGCTGTTGCACTTCATTCTTCTATCGTTTCTGATACAATTGTCCGACGGGGAGACCAAGTTTACCAACTATTCGCAGAGAACACGCCTAGTATTGTTGCAAGTTTCAGGCTGATATTGAATATGACCGATTGACCAGTGACATTATCCGATTCAAAGTGCCAAGCTTGATCGAAAGTTCAAGATACAAAGCGAAGCGCAAAGAAAGTATTCTACAAACAGAACCTGTAGTTAGTGACTGACGCCTCATAGCACCCTCACAGTCCACCTTTATTAAAAAGCAATGAGCCACGTATCAGAAGTAGAAAGAAATAACAGTACCTTGTAACATGTAGTTACTCCCCACACTTGCTCGTCGCCCTTCATCAGTCGTTCTAATTAGACTCGAAAGGATCGTTAGGCATGACAGGGTCGTCAGGATCGTTGGGCGCTGAAACGTCAGGCGCCCTAACGTCCAACTGGTGAGCGGTGTCAAAGTCAAGCCCCTCGCGCTTAGCCAAAGCTGCAAAGCATATCAGTATCATTGTCACCAACTGGATTGACGCATGAATCCTCACAAGTTTGTTTCGTCCCCAAGTCTGGTGAGGGATATGCAGCAGCAATAGCGACAAAGGACATAAGTGTCCCGAAGATAAACGAGAGCTGCATAATTGTAATCGAGAAGGTGACAACTTGTCGATGCGTCAAAGTCGCGAGGGTTTTTATACTTGCGCGGCACCTGACGAAATAATGGGGTAAGCACAGTTTAATTGCGAGAAAAGAATACGGACGTATCGTAAGAACGTCAGGCCATTTTTTCCCGTTTAGTGGAGGCTTGCCTGGTGCAGAAATTACATATGGTAGTAGTAGGTGAGTCCGATTATCGAGCATACGGAAATAAATGAATGTCCATTTACACTGGCAGTGCATGCTAGTATGAGATTGCTGTATGTTCAAAACTCGGCCTCGCTACCGAAACCGGCACTTTTACACCCTAATTAGGTCATACTGTCCTCTCCGAGCATTGAGCAAGCTGTCTCAGATACTTCAAGAGCTGTCCTCAGCTGCAGTTTCTGAGGCGCAGTGAGTGCATTGAAATGTTGACGTTCCATCGTGTTGGCGTTGCGGTCAGCAGGTCCAGTCTTGAATGTGTTCACATCACTTAGCCTTCTTTCACGCGGCAGTCAAATGATGTAAAACTACCTCTGCTGTTTAACGTTGCGATACTATCCGCGGAGAGCACACAGTGTTGTTGCGAGTTTTTGAACATGACCAATGACATCATCCGATTCAATTGGTCGAAAGTTCCGATGAGGAATCTTCTTCCTTAGAACAAGATACGAAGCGAAACGCAAAGAAAGTATTCTACAAACAAAAGCTGTAGTAGTGACTGACGACGTTGTAGCACCCCTCACGGTCCACCTCTATTGTACAGCTGAAAAGCAATAAGTCGCGTATCAGAGAGAGGTGGAAAGAAACAACAGTACCTTTCTTGTAACGCATGGTTACTCCCCACACTTCTCGTCGCCACTCATCGGTCATTTTAATTAGACTCGAAAGGATCGTTAGGCTGGACAGGATCATCAGGATCGTTGGGCGCTGAAATGTGACTAACGTCAGGCGCCCTAACGTTCAACTGGCGAGTGAGGTCAAAGTCGAGCCCCTCGCGCTTAGCCACAGCTGCATAGCATATCAGTATTCCTCTCACTAATTAGATCGACGCATGAGTCACTCACATGTATGTTTCGTCCCAAAGTCTAGCGGGGAATATGCAGCAACAATAGCGGCAAAGAACATAAGCGTCCTGAAAATCAACGAGAGTTGCATGATTGTAATCGAGAAGGTAGCCAATGTGTCGAAGTTGTGAGGGTTTTTATACTTGCGCAGCCCTCGAAGCACCTGACGAAATGATAGGATCAGCACAGTTTAATTGAGGGGAAAAAATACGGTCACATCGTAAGAACTTTAGCAAGTCAGGACATCTGGAGCCATATTCGTGGCCAAGTGTCCCATTCACGTCATAATTTTGCGTACATGTCTAATGGCTGTTTCGAACTTGAAGCTCCTTCTCGTGCTGTAACAACTGCTTCTACTTACTGGATCCTCATGTGACAACTCGACATAATCGGATCTCCTGAAGGCTGACTAGCAAGTAGACTGTAGCGGCATCCGTTACAAAGGACCGTTATGCCCTAACATGGTTTGGTTGAAAGACATCCCTACATAGTATCATGTTAGAACTTCGGGACCATGTCAACGGAGTGATGTGCTAATAGAAGGCATGCTTCCTCATCAATTTCGGCAGCTCTGGCTGAACAATTCAGCTTCTAGGTCGCGATTAGGTGGAAGCAGCCAATCTCGTCATCGAAGGTGTCGGTTTCTGGAACAAATACCGAACAATGGGGCACTTAAAGTAAGCCGGATTATGTTTCATGCAACGCGAAAATACCTGTAACACTTCCAAGATTGAGTCGCACATGCGTCAATGATAGACCTTGAAAGAGGTTATAGTACAGGAGGGCGACGTGGCCACGTGGATGACTCTGGGAAGTGTTTGATGAGCACAATTCTAGCACTAGTAGGTAAACTGACCAAAAAGTGTCCATCCATTCCATGGGTCACTATGCATGCTGAAAACGCAGACATGACTAGGGATTGAGAAGACACAAGGGGTGGGATCTTGAGATGTTACTATCTCTGTGTCCTTGCCAATTGAAGATATTGCACGGTAAGCGGAACAAAGAAGTTGATGCTTGCGTGCGGTAATGTCGCAAGGATGCTTTCGTACCAGGTAGAACCGAAACAAATTAGCGCCATAATCGATTTCATGTGTCTGGTGAGTTTGCAGGGTATACGTCGAGGGCAAATGCCGAAAGGATTAAGGCGCTCGTATGACCAAAAAGGAAATTGGATGTGGCCCCTATTTTCTTTTCTATACTTCGACGTTCTGACTTGCCCCTCTAGTATAGCTATCATGACAACCAATCCTTCAGATGATTTCGATGATCAAAAGTCTGTGGGTGCCGGTGATGCACCTCCCTTGTATGACATGACACCTCCGCCTGAAACATCATCGGCCACTCTCCGATCATTCAGCCTATCATCTTTCTTTTCCTTTTTATTCGCCGCCAGGCAGAAACACACCGCGGTTCTATCGCGCATCCGTGATATCGTTCTCACTCCAGATTTCAACCCATATGCTTCCGCCGCCTCAATCATCAACGTCTGTGCTGCTGATCTTACAACTAAAGGGTTCTCCAAGCTTCTACAAACACCAAATATCGAGGATCACACAGCGCTATATTGGGCAATTGTGAACAACCAGCGAGAAGTTGTGGCTGCCCTTGCTGCATTCATCTCTGAATGTTCGCCTGCATGCTCTTCCGAATTGCGTCTCGCATGCATGGCAACTAGCGACCACGCATCGTTTACACAGCTAAAATTGGCAGATATTGATGGTAAGTGACCCTACATGAGAGTGCATTAACTTATCTACCACGTTTCGCATCAGCCAAGGGTGAGGTTTTGAGACGATCTTTAGGTTGTCCACCGGATGAGATTGAAGTGCATGAGGTCAAGATGAGCAACAGCCGTCAGTTTGTCGTCTCTTTCCGCATCAGGAAGTTTCAGAGACGCTTGCGCATCATGCACAAGTTAAATTATGAATTTGTCGCAGATGGTGTGTGGCGCAGGTTTCTTGTTCTTTTCATCATGCTGATGGCCTGCAGGACGTATATGGTTGCTCTGCTTTGATATGTACACTGTTGAGTGGAAGTGGCGCGTTCTGTATGGCCTTTCTTCGCCTAGCCTTCCAGCTTGCACGAAAGTTTTATTTAAGATAGAAGGGAAACCTGGCCGCAAACCCCTGAAGCTGTTGCCGGGTGATAATTTCATGGAGACAGTTGTGCCACCAGAGTAAGCTTGTAGTTTATTTGCTCTGACTCATTTGAAGGAACTGATGGATTTATCCTATGGGGTATTATTTGTTCCCATGTCGGCTTCGCAGACATGATCACCTTAAAAAATATAGCGGGGTAGCTGGCAAGCCTATTATCTACGGTTGGTGGCCATTGGGCGATTGGGTGATGTACGAGTAAGTCTTTAGCTTCCTTAGCTCGCCCCATGTTATATGATGCAATCGTACTACTAACGAGAGATAATGTGACTCTTCTCCTTTGCCGAATTTAACTAACTGTGTCATGGCAGCAATCCTGTCTATGTGGACCGTGATGGCGCCCTACATGCAACGCTGAGGTTGACGTGCAAAACTGGGTAATTGCTGCGTCCTTACAATATGTAGAACATCGGGAACAAGTGAATGGGCAGTTCTTGTTGAGCTATACGAGCACAAATATGATTTGAAGTTTGTATTCCAATGTATATGGAGTGTTTGAGGGCACAGAAAAGTTACCGCGAGGTGATGCAAGAACCTGAACAATTGAACAATTATGCACGAGCTAGCGCGTAATCAAGGGGACTCGAGGATGCAACCTATTTCTAATTGAGCTGATTGTACCTTCTAGCGTACCTTAGCCACAATGTCAATTCAAACAGAGTCCTACTTGCAAAAGCGATACCAGTACTGTAATAACACACGGAAGGAATAGTAAGTACACGGCGTGGTTGACGTTGTAGCTGTACTCGAAATCATACCATCATATCATCATCATCCTCAACTTTCTTTCGCACTGTCCTTCACCATTACCGACAAAGCGCCCGACACCATCTCCCATCTTCGTCCATACTCTCCCTCGTACGATAACCTCCAGATACAAAGCCGCGGCGCCATCATGTGCAGGAACCGTGGGATAGACATCATCAGGTCTGGCGCCGTCGATGGGCGCAAGGGGCCTACGCATGCAATAGGCGACCTCCCCCCGATGTATAGTTGAAGCAGTTGCGTACTGGGTTGCAGACCCCCTTGATCGTTGTCGAGATCGTTCTTTGGAAGTGTTCTTCCAAGCGCATCGAGCTCCGCATTCACGCAGACCGAGGCCTGGCGCAACTCGCGGCAGCACCTTACAAGGAAGTTTAAGGCATATAGGGATATAGGCGTGTTGCACACCCCTAGGTCAAAGACGGTGAGATATGGGCATGTGCGAGCAAGTGTGATGGTATCTGTATCGGTGAGTGTGATGGTTGAAGTCCTGTGGTTTGGGCAGAGAACAAGGGTTTTGAGTTCTGCAAGGGCGATGGGGTGTGCAAGGAGGGGATGGAAATCAAAGACTGTTGCTAATTCGCAGGAGAAAATGAGGTGCTCTAGCTTTGTACATGTGAGACTGCTGAGGAGTTCGGACCAGGTGCTGGATGGGTTGCACTCTCTTGCGATGATATGGATTGTTTTGAGGTTGGGGCATGCGAGAGAATACATATCAGAATCCATCCGGAGCATTCGGAAGGCGCGCAGGAAAGATGCGATAATTCCCAGATTGTTGCACGAGACATTCAAATGAGTGAGTGCCTGAAACATCTGTGGCGCGTGGAGTGGTACAGAGGGGATGCTTTCAGGACCTAGGCGGAGAGTGAGCCATCGGAGGCGTGGCCATGTAGCAATAACATCGAGCAAGCCACTTGAGATATTGCAATATGGAAACGAAAACTTTGTGAGACCCTCAGGATATGTGCGCAACAACAACTCGATTTCTGACTGAGTTGCGACGGAAATGCCCCTAAGCTCGAGAGCTTTGAGATGAGGGGCAGTAATATGGAGGTCAGGTATGATGGCCTGGCGAAATGATGTTTCTGTGATGTTTTTTTTTTTTTTTTTTTTTTTTAAATCCAATTATTGTCCATTGAGAGGTATACTCTATGTAGGACAGTACTGTCTAGCCAAGGAGCCCTGTGCTCCGTCCCGTTGTCGCATCCCCAAATGCACTGGTGTAAGGCGTAGTGATGGCCAGGTCCGGTCCTGAACCACAGTTCGAACCCGAACCGTTGTAGAAACAACAATACTGAGTGGGGCTATACGAAGATGGCTCCAAACTGATATATTTGTGTTGTGGTCTTTGCACTGCCTAGTTTGCTATACTTGCCTGACAAGTGCGTTCGACCCAGGGGTCTGCGATCTGGGAATAGTCTTGGGGGTAAGTGAGTAATGTGGGGTCAATAGTCCGAGCGCGGGAAACAATGTCCAAAGGTATAATTACGATGTCCGATGCAAAAGCGTCGGGTCCGATGTTTTCGGGGTTTCGGGTTATTGGGTGTCGGAAACTAATAGTAACGCTATAGCGAGCGTCGGAAGAGCGAGCGGTGTGCGCAATAATAACAATGACTGATACGGATAATGAAAGAGCGATGATATTCGCAATATCAACTAAGAACTACGAAATATCGGGTTTGACCACTAAGCGTTGGGGAACTGCTCCCCTCTACTTGGATAATGAATAATGCTCGAGGTCAGTCCAATATATATGTAAGTACATAGAAATGCGGAACCCGTAGGCGAAAGTAGCGGCGGAGTATTTCGGATCCGAAGTACATGTAAATAAACATGAGGCGCTGCGGACTATGGGAAAACATGTAATAGCGCTGGCTACGACGTGAGCAATGTGCAAAATAATGAACTACACACCTAGTGGGGCTAGCAAGACAGGACGGGACACGGATAGGACAAGTGCGCGGGAAAACATCGGGTCCGATGCGGCCTAAACGTCGGGTTGGCGGGTTAGCGTCGGATAACATCGGGAAGTGATTAGCATGTGACGGGTATTTGACGTGTACTGTAAAATAGCTCGATACGAGCCCAGCGCCAGCTTGTGTCCTACACCGTTTCGAACCTGACCGAAGTCCGATTCAAAGTTCGGGCAATAGGGGGAACCGAACCATCGGTCCAGTCCACGGTTCGAGGACTTGCAGAATTCTCGAACCTGGTTCGAACAGGTCTGAACAGGTTCGAACCGATTGTCAAGTAATAAGGGATGGTACAAAAATTTCGATCTCCAGACTTACATGGGCCAGGCGCAGTGCGGAGTGCATATTATGTAACACGGCTGTGCTCATCGTCGATGACAATGACAAGAAAACCAGCAATTTTTGAACACTGTCCTGCTCACCCCAATCGTATACCACCACAACGCCAGCAGCAACTGCGAAACGGCAAGTCAATGTTGGATCCAGACCTCTTGATGGGACAAACCTGTCAAATAGCTGACAAAAATATCCAAATCGATATACAGCCAGTAACTGGGATCATTGGAGGCGAAGGTCATGTTCGAGGGATGGGTGAGCGAGTGCGGAATTGTGGTGTATAACGACAGCATTCGTACTAGATATACTAACGTTCAGTGGGTTAGCAAATGAGACAAAAAGGGTAGAAAGACTCACCACCTCTAGGTCAACCTCACATACTCCCTACATAGTGGACGCGGACCTGACTGGGCACTGACATCAGCACTAAAACATGTCATTTGCAGTGAATAGATGATGCTAAGTAGACCACGCACCTTAATAGACATTTCAAATGAATACTTGCCTGAATTCCTTGACTTGAACAAGCAGATGTTAGGAAGCTCGTGGGGGTTGAAGATTTACTCAATGCTCGTAGCAGTACAAGACCTAGTATAGCAATGCAAAAACAATCGGGCTGATTATTCAGAGCAAGTTTTCAAGGCGCTGTTGAGAGTTGAATGGACATAGCAATAGTGGCCGAGAACGCGAGCCAAATGGCCCTAAACATGCATGAGTTATATGAAACATCGAGTCGAGACAGAAATCAACTTACATACGAGACTATGGGACGGAACGTTTGTACTTAAGATATGTATATGAAGTTTGACATTTTTTGGGTCCGGTTCTCGGTTCAAACCCTTGCTGAACCGGAACCGGACCATTATTGGACCGAACCGATGGTCCGGTCCATGGTTCTGCTTACTGAGAGAACTGAACCGATGGTCCGGTCCACGGTTCTCTGAATTTCCTAGAGAACCGGACCGAACCGGACCTGTCCATCACTAGTAAGGCGTACCCCACCAGTCCGCCGTTCCTGCCGGCCGTTTTAGATGGGCGATGTAAGAGACTAAGGGAAGACTATAAGTAAGATTGCGTGGGTAAGAACTATCGTGAAATATATAACGCGTGCTCGGCCGCTGTCGCGGACCAAACAGAGATCAGTTGGGGTGTTCAGTAAGTGAGTGATAGACATAAGGTAAGGGACATGGAAGTTAAGGTGCGCTTCCTGGTTGGACAAGGAGACGGGTCGTCCAACGTGTCGGTACGTCATGTATCCGCGGTTACTGGCGTAGTCCCCAAGGTGAGACCAGGGATCTCGTGTGGGCGAGCTGAGGTGTAGGGATTAGGTGAGGATTATGTCGTGATAGGGTAGGATGGGGGATATGGTGTGTTGGCATTAGAGTGGTCGTAGAGTGATAACTGGACAAAGTGCGTCAGAGTGGTCATGCTGTGGGCATCGAAATTTCACCTAGCGTGGATTTCAATCTACGGGTCTGATTAACATACCGAACGAGATGAGTGATGGCGTCTGAGTCTGCCAGAACGTGAGAAAGCGAGGTGGATTTCCGCCCTAGGGCACGGGACATGACATGACGTGCTGCGAGGTACTGAGGACATTCAAATAGAAAGTGGTGAACGGTTTCTTCGGTTTGCGGGCAATGAGGGCAGTGGGGGGATTCAGTTTTCGTTAGGCGGAAGAGATGTTGGTTTAGAGGGAGGTGACGGGTGCGCAGTCCTATTAAGAGTCCGGTGAG